ATGCTCGATGCTCGATGCTCGATGCTCGATGCTCGATGCTCGATGCTCGATGCTCGATGCTCGATGCTCGATGCTCGATGCTCGATGCTCGATGCGTGACATCTGTTCCCTTCGCGATTCAGCCTGCCAGTCACTCAATGCCAAAAGTGCTTGCAGATTGATCGACCGTCAAGAGACATTATTTTCCGTCTCATAGACCCTCTCGCGGCGCAGTGACAATCCCATGCGTTGCTGGTTTCTCACTTGCTCATTCCTTGAATCATCTGCTCACTCACTCATTTCTTCATTTACTCTCTCTCACACTCACTCCTTCACTTCCTCAGTCACTCAAATGTCACCATAACCCTACCTCATCTCATTCAGCTCGGGATTTCATCTGCGGCTTCACTCTTACCTTCAGTTTCACCTTTACAGTTCGTCCGACGCAACTGACCTGCGATTGAATCTATAGCCCGTCATGACACCTCACGGCCCTGCTCTGCCTTCTATTTTGTTTGCGGACCACGGGTAACCGAGCGGTTTTGTCACTCACTCTCACTGCCGTGGTCCGAACAAGTATAAGTATCTCCCATTCCATGCGTCCTCGACTGGATCTTAACTTCAGCAGCATCTTGATATCTTTGACTTCTTATCCTCGTCCTCGTCCTCGTCCTCAGCCTGGTACACTTGTCCTTCTGTTTTGCGAGATCTGGATCTTCTGCCCCGGGGACACCACATATCAATTTCAGCGGTTGCATCGCCGCCTTTCTGCTGCGAGTGATCAACCTAATCCCAAGATCGATCTTCCATTCGCAGGAGTTCCTCCCAAGATCAGACACGCTGCACACGACCATTGGAATCGCGTCTTCGATTGTGGACAAGGATGTCTCAATCGCTCTTGTCTTTGTCTCCGACCAGCCTCAAGAAGTAAGTCTTCTCTCTTTCTGGTCTCAAAATACTTCCTTACCCGAAATTTGCCGGGAACGTCTCGATCTATATCATACTTAGTCATGGGTTGACGCCGCTGACGATCGCGTTAGCCTTAAAGCCGGCGAGACCATCACAATCTGGTACAAGGAGAGCGACAACGCCGACTCAGTCAACAGACGAATCCTCTTCGAAGCATTTCCGAAAAACGTTGTCACCACCTTCTCAACCACATGGAAGGCCGAATTTCCACCCATGAACAAGATGAAGACCGACGACATCCTCAAGATCGGTTCGAAGAAGAGCGTGACTGTTGTGGGCGGGAACTTCAAGGTCTGGAAAGACATGCTCAATTGGATGTTGGCTTCGTGCCAGGGCCGAGGGCTTGAGCAGCTCAAGATCCCCAGCGTCAAACCGTTCACCTACCTCTTCATCCTCCGCGCCTGCGCTCGTGTCATCGGATGCGAGCACCTTGTCACAGAAGCCAACCGGCACATGGATCGCATTGCCGCAGTTCAAATCCACTCCGAGGATGTCCGTACGCTCTGGTTCCTCAATCCTCCAGATGAGGAAGTGAGACAGTTCCTCGCCGACCACGTCGCCATTCGCTTCTGGGAGAGGAGACTCAAGGCATACGGCGCATATCGAACCTTGCGCATGGAGATTCCAGAATTCAACCAAGCGATCGACGATTTCTGTACCATGAAGAAAGCCGAGCGTGCCGAAGAGAAGAAGAAGCTGTGGGAGCAGAGAAAGAAGGAACGAGAAATCAAGCGAGCGACGGGCTATGGAGGATATGGCCGACCAGGGAGAACGATCGGTGGCTGGAAAGGCAAGGATGGGAACCAGAAAGCAGGGGACTCCAAGGATGAAGGAGAGCCCAAGACTGTCACCTTGAGGATGGAAGTTGTTCGCAAGGGCACCAAGAAGCAACCGACCTACGCAAAGTTGGATTTGGGGGCCATTGGTCTAACGAAGCAGGAATCCGTGGGTGGTAAGTAGATGACCTGTGATGGATTCGGTGATGGTGCAGCGCTGCTTGGTGTGATCTGGCCGCCAGTCAAGGACATTCCTGGGTATTGGTTGGGTTGACGGCAGCGGACAGGATTGGTTTCGGCGCAGGTTCAACGTCGGCTGGTTCCACGCTCTTTTGGAATTCTGGTTTCCAGTACCTCGTAGTTATGTCTCACTGTTGACTGCGAAAGGCAGCAAATGAGGGCAGGCGGATCAGCCAGCACAGCGCCCCACAAATGGACAGTCAGCTTAGACCATTGTCTTCTCCTGTTTCTCGACCTCTTTGTCGCATGAATTCTTGATGACTTGTGCAATCGTCGCAGCAAGGGCGAAATGGACCAGTGTGAAAGCCGCACCCGCCAGGCACAAGCTTCGAGTCAGACTGTCTCCTTGGACGTATGGTAGGGCGTAGGTCTCGACACCGACACCGGGAATCGTGACGGCGACGATTGACCGAGGCCAGGAGGTAGGAAGGCCGTCCACCAGGAGGGGTGGATTTTAGCGATCACGGTGAGTTGTTCCTTCGCGGATTGCGCAAGCTGTGAGACACTGCGCCTTCCACGATGGCATAGAAGACAGTCAGGGCCGACGAGACTAGCGGAACAGTGGGGGCAAGGTCGGGCCGCACACCCGAGGTGGTCGCCGTCGACATTTTGCTGGGACGTGATGGATTCGTATGGAGGTCAGAATTGGGGGGATCGGGACGTTTCATATACTTTCTGCGGCCTTCAAAAGCCCGCAGAGAAAGAAGTCATCGCTCAAGCATCGTGGACGGCGGGAGGCATGGAGCCGAATGGAGCCGAATGGAGCCGAATGGAGGCCCTGTAGGTCAGTCTGGATAGAAAATGATCAATAGGATTCGAGGTTACAGGTTAGGATCATGTTGACGTGCGCCAAAGGTCGCACTTTGCTGGGTTGGAAAATCCCATGCATTCGTGCATATCTGCAGCTGCAGCCTGTCAGCCGTTCTGGTGGCACCGCATATGCAGAGAAGTCTGTAACAGAATCCATCGTCGTGCAGCATCTAGCGACCAAATAACAATGCATATCAACATCGCAATCTCCATCGTGCCGTTCGACTGCATTCTCCCCCAGAAGTGCTTACGATCTCGCTGCTAGACTGCCATAGTACGCTGTCAGTTACCCTATTTGGCGGTGGTCAAGCCTCCCTCACAGTGAGGTGTGTTTCAGGGGCATCAAGCCCAACCGAGACATGAAACTGGCCTAAGTCGGTGCCAGTCTAAGCGTCACAGGCTTCTTCCTTTAACCGAGTAGCGGCGCGTCCTTGCTTGAGTCTAGCCCGAAAGCCTAATTGGCGTGCGACCCAGCCCCGCCCGCTGGCTGAGCATCCCCAGAAAGCGAGTGACAAGACTTCTGTCCGGTACTTGTGCTGCAGGCAGGTTACTCGTATGATTTGCAGACGTGCAGAGTTCATATTGAATTCAATCGCTCAATGCGTGCTAGGTCACGGCTGGAGTGGTGTGCAGTTCTTGTGTCGAAGGCCCGTTGCTTGGACGAGGTTCTCTGGTGATCATCTAGTCCTCCTCACTCAGCGCTTCCCCTATCTTCACCCTGTCTAACAGCCTGCAGCGTGTGCATCGTGGAGGTCCAGCATTATGCCTGACAGCTGCAGCGCATCGATCAGATCGTCCATACGAGTTATTGTGGCGCCAGTGGTCCTCCTCCCGAATCCATCACGAACCCACCGCTCACGATAGGTTTGGCGTCTCGGCACCAGCTCCAAGCGAACCCTGGACGCTCTTTATCTCCAGACCTTGATCGGCACCTCATCCCTGTCCCCAGGTCAAAATTCCACCGCGGCCGGCATCTTCACGACTCCCTCGTATTTGGCTCTCCACGTTTTGTGGCCGTTGGCGGCTGGAGGACATTCGCAATTGTGGTGAAGATCGAGGCAGCCACATCTGCACCATTTCCTTGAGTTCGGGGCACGGGCAGCCGTTGGCTAGGGTGAAGAATGCCCATGCGGCCATGCCATCTGTTAAAAAAATGATCATCTAGAATTTCTCGACCCATAGCTCCGCCATGTCCACCGAGCCATAGACTCTCACGTTCTTCGTGTTGATCTTGCGACCTGCATTGGAAGACGCGAGGCGCCTCGTTGCGCGAACAGACAAGGCTGAGGGACATTAGAATTATCGCTGAAAGGCACACACACACACACTCACTCTCTCTCTCTCTTACCGCGAGGTTTCACCACGAACATGCCACCACCAACGACCGAACATCCGGACTCTTCTCGACCACTCGCAGATTACTTTTGGATAGCGGGGTTGGATAGCCAACAACTCGTTGACGCTTTCTCCCAGCAACGGTGGTCTCATGATCTTGTCGAACAGAATGGCGTCGAGACGACGATCAGGGAAGAGGTCACGCCCGAATTTGACCAGTCCTCAATCATGCAATCACCTCGTGGTTCAGCGAGCCATTCCAGGCACGACTCGTACCAGAGACTCTCTCAACTATCCGATGAGGCGAGAAGTACAATTCAGAGTCTCGACAGCGCCACCCAAACCCAGAGCAACCGGAGCAGTATGACGGTCCGGCCTGCTGATGCTGCACCTGATGTTCGAATGTCCTCAGCCATATCAGAGGCCGACTTTGACAAAGCTATGAAGAAATTTGCCACGGATCGAGACGAATTCTACCTGGACTTGAGCTTTAACTCGGCTGAAACAGCCAAACCGACGCGCTCAAAATCACACCTCCGAACACAGAAGATCGTCGCCCAGGACGAACCGCCTTCTCTGCCCAACCGCAATTTTGGAAGCATCCGCAGACATTTGTCGTTCAAGGACATGTCCAGCACGAAACGCCAATTGTCAGTGGCCCGGCGAACATCGACTCGCACCTCGCGCAGAATGAGCAGCTATAATTCCGTTATTCCCAGCCCAGACGCTTTTCACAGTTCACCCGAACAGTACCCCTTGACAAGAAAGTTCGAACCTGCTCTACTCGAGAGATATCCCCGCTCAAGCAATCCCGAGAAGGGTCTGAAAAGAGGACCGTTCCCGGACTACTTACCGATGTTCGCCTTTCCAAACGACATCAAGGTAGTCTCATCCGATATCAAACCGAGATCGACCTGGCACGAATTTTCCATGACTGCCGCAGATAATTCTAGGCTCACAGCAGTGTCAGTCACCGTATGGCTTCCCGTAAGTCGTGACATCGCTGCCGCATTGGACATGAAATGTGATGAGTGGCGGAAAGCTCATATGTCCGAGGCGGAACGAGAAATGGCAACTTCACTCGCGGAGCGGCTAGCAGTAGAGAGCACCAAGCTCTCCAGGCTGCTCACACAATTGCCTCAAGTCTCCCAAGATTCTCAAGGCAGAGAAGTCTTGGAAGAGGAAATCAGCGCGGTCGAGGAGAAGATTACTGTCATGTCTGATATGCTGCGGCCACTGCGACAGAAATCAGAATCGGATATTCAGGGCCTCATGACCGCAGAGACCAAGTACTGGGTTCCAAGAGCTTACGGAATCCTGGGTAGCGACAGCACTCTGGCAAACTTCTGGCGGCAATGGCTTCGGGCGATTGTCGTCCCCATGACGGATGGTGGAGTGTTGCGAGTGCCAGCCAGTTCTCCCAAAGTTGGCATGTGGCTGCCTCTCGAGAGATATGTCGCCACGCTATGTCTTGAGGCACCTCGTCCCGTATCGTCCAAAACCCAAGTCCAGACCTCGATCAGAGAACTGCAGCTTTATGCGAAGAAAGAAGCGGCAAACGAACTCCCAGGCAGTCGTACCACCGACTTGTACCCGATCTTCAGAACCCTTACTATACCTAACGTCGTCCTTCTTCTCGAATACGCCTTGGCAGAGTCAAGGATTATCCTGCTCTCATCCCACGTTGCGATGCTGCAGCTGGTGAGCAAAGCGATTTTGGAACTGATCTGGCCTCTGGAATGGACAGGTGTCTATATTCCGGTGTTGCCGTCACGACTGGTCCAGGCGTTGGATGCCCCGTGTCCGTATATCTGTGGCATTGACCGGAAATACGACAAGTACGATGTCCCCGACGACGACTATGTATTGGTTGACCTGGATAAGAATGAGTTGCATAGTACAGCACCACCACCATTCCTCCCGAAGCAGCAACGTCGGAAGCTGATGTCCCTACTCTACCAAGCCGCGCCACTCCATCAGAGCTTCGGTGTAACGCCTGGACCACCCGCGTACGCCACAGAGACGTTTCCGCATGATGCTTTTGCTGCGGAAATCGAGTCCCCCTTTACCGCCGTTGCCAAATCAACGAACTTGAACAAATTGGCCAGTCTCAGCTCGACAATGTTCGGTCCGCAGGCGGCTACCGATACCATTCGTCGGGCCCCAATGCTCAACGTGTTCTTGGCTTCGACTCCGACGAGGGGCAAAAGTGCTGACCGACCGAGAACATCATCAACGGCACGCCATTCCATGGTTACAGACTCAGACAGCCAATCTCCAGTCACTAGCAGCTTCCCTGTGACGCCTGCTTCTGCGTCACCGCGGACCGACTCGGGATATGCTCTTCAGACGTCTCTGAGAGAGAAGAAATCCGGACACTTTGACTCACTTTCAAAGCGGAGCTTCTCCGGGTCCACCCATATGCTTCGGAAGGCTAGCATCCCGTTTGTGAAACACGCTGCAAGTCCCTCTACAAGTACTACCCTATCAGACAACCGAAACGGGTCGACGTACGCGCCTTCTACGTATGCGCAATCAACTCTGGCGGCGTCTACAATCATGCCTGGAGCGAGTGCGCAGCCTGGACGGAACGGTGAAGGTACATATTGGTCGGAAGGTCACTGTCTACAGTGGAGAGGCGCTGACGGTCCATCCACCTGCGTGCTCTGCGACGACAAAGCTCAAGACGGGTTCTACAGATGCGGGGGCTGTGGGTTCGTCATCCACGATCGCTGTGCCGACCAAATCTCCGTTGTCTGCTCCGCGGCCTTCTACCCTGACCAAGTCCGCGCCGCTTTCGTGCGGTGCATGGCCAGCTTGTTTTATACCTATCGGAGATTCATGCAGCCCGCGACTGCACAGAAGAGAAAGCTAGGCTCGACGTTCACCTTTGACAGCAGTTCATTTATCAAGAGCCTGCCTCCCGACCACGCTGCATACATGGAGATGCTACAGCAGACACAAGCCTGGAATGAGTTCATTATGGATCGAGAGGAGAAATCGTCCAAGCCCTCCATCGCGCTCTTTGACGCCATTATCACGGCAAAACGCGGCCGAGCGGGACTTCGATCCAGCCTTCCGAGCATCGGCTTCAATCGCAAAAGCTTCTCGCCACTCTCGACCCCGGTACCGACGCGGACGGACATTCTCTCGGACACATCCCAGCATCAGTGGCGGATAGTCTCCGTGGCGTCAAGCTCGGAGCGGCCTGAGCTGGGCCCGGCGGCAAAAGGACGTGACTATCACACAATCATCACACGAAAGCCAGCCAAGCTCGAAGAGGGGTTGTTCAAGCAGGAGGAAAAGCTTCCCGATCTACCAACGATTCCTCGCAAGAAGTCGAGGATGAGTGTGCTGACGGGCAAGCTGAACGGTCTGGGTATGCATGCCCCGTGAGCTCCACAAGATCTGGCGCGTCGCGCCCTCGGCTCACAACGTGTGAAGCGACCAACGATGGTAGGCTCCTAAGCTGCTCTTCGTCGGGTCAAGAGGTTGCCTGTGCTGAGGGAACCTCGTTCCCCCATCGTGGTGCGCCACTGGATAGCGAGCTGGCCCAGCACTGCCCTTCCGTCTCGTCTCAAACTATTCTTCACATCCTCCAGACCGTCTGAGACGCCTTCTTGTTGCTCGACAAGGAACGCGACTTGTATAACATCGCGGGGCTTGAACAAAGGGCGCTCGCCACCATCTTCGATACCCTCCTCAGCATCCCAATTGAGTGAAGTCGACTTAAACGGTGGCCTCGATTGGAGCCTTGTCTCCTCCAAAACGACCCCCGCATCGGACACATTCTCTAGCTGGGCTTCCAATACATACCGAAGCAATGCGGTCTTGCCATATGGGCCATATGTCTTATCGACGACCTCTGCGGTCTCCAGCTCAGTGGTTTTTGTCCGGACGCTCAGGCACGGCTGGGCCAGAAACTGATACAACTTGCGAAATGACCGCACTCTGCCGCTTGTCGCTTGGCCATCGCCTGTGGTCTCAGTATAGCTTACATTGACGGCCAGGACATGGTTGCCTTCTTCCTTCAGATCGAATCGGATGATTCTCTGCAAGGCGCTCCCTGGTCTGTCCTCGTCCGCGATGCCCTCGGCGGCATGGAGCTCCAAAGGAACTGCCTGCGACGGCGTTTGCATCTCTGCAAGGATTCGAGTTCCGGAAACGGTCTTCAAGGTCTGCTCGGGCCGAAGTTCATTGTTGGCACATAGCGCGCAGGAGAAAGTTTCGCCGACGTGAGCGGATCCGAACGACGGAGGCAAGCCCAGACTGCTAGATAAGACGAATTCTTGGTCCACGGTCTCAGCGGGATACGCCAGGGAAGCTGTATGGGGTATCTTGGTCTCATTCTCGCGAGGGAAGGGGTGTTGCTGTGCAAGCGACGGTCGTGAAAGCCTACAATACGGATGGGCATTAATTGGATGAAACACGGGAGTTGGATACCGAGAGCCCATGGAAAGATATCAGGCTCAACTGACCTTAGGACTGCAGTTTCAGTGTATTAGCATAAGCGAATAATATAGCTGTCTTTGTAACAACAAAAAGTAATCGGCTTCTCCCAGCGCGGTGCACTTGACATACCTTTCAGAGATACTGAGTGAGGCTCTTTGGCGAAGTTTCCCGTGTCGGCTCGAGCTCGAGCCATGAGCTCAGCCAGACCTCCAGGTGGGCGTTGTGTCCAGCCCGTCGTGGAAGGATGAGTGAGTGAGGGGTTTCGAAATACTATCTATCTCATCAAGCTATTGCTATGCGATTCATTGACCTTGCCCTTTTTGTGTCTAGATTCTATTGGTGGACAAGCTGAAGCCACAAAGAGGCAGGAGTGAAGTGAAGCGGATGTGAAACGGAAGTGAAAGTGGCGGGCGGAATTTCCAAGAGACGCTGGCCGGCAAGTCCAACCACGAGCTTCAACCAATTCACCCACTCATCAATTAATTACTCCGTCCACTTACTCCATACTGCTCTTAGAAGACGACTTCCCTGGGCGTACTTTCGCATGAATATATCACCGTGCCCGCTACACTCGAGTCCACTGTCATAGAGCCTCTCGAAACAAGCCTCTCCGTCTTTTCGGCCTCTAACGGTCTGAAGAATATCCGCCTCTCGACCTCTTTTGGACTTCGTCCCCTGCGACGGCTTTCAGCTTTCAGCTCACCATCCATGTGATCTCGGCTCCTCAGCTGCTCTTTGCAGATTGTTGCAGCCATTGAACCACGTCATCTTCTTGTATCCAATGGCCTTTCCCAGTAATGTCCGACCCGATGGCAACCGCATTTCCTCAGGCCAGCCTGCGCATGCATGACGCAGTCCTAGCGATTGCCTTAAAAAAGATGCTGTTGCGTTTGGGTCCACTTCTCTTCTAAATGGTGGTGAACCTGGCCCTGGCCTGACCAAACACATCACCGCCCAAGACGTTCGCCTCTCTTACATCCTGTTTATTGGTTGCACAAGTACAGGGTACCAGCGCCTCTACGCTGCCACTAGCCAGCGGAACATATGATCCGTTCCAGAATCTAGAAGAGCTATGATTCTCAGCCTTAGAACGCCATGGCCGGTCGAATTTGTTCCCAGGTCTGTCGGCCTCAGTCTGCTGGCGACGTTCTCTTTCATTCTCAAGACAAGGCATAGGAGCCATAGCCAAACATCCGAGGGCGAACACCATGGCGGCTCCGAGGCAGCCTCAGACCGCGCCCGCCTTGTCACGGGCGGAGATGGAGTTGAAGGCAATGTGGCAGGAAGCCGAACTCGAGTTCAGCCAATTGACTAGGCGCAGCTTGAGGACCGACCGAGAAAAGCGCTTGGATGATGTTCTTGCAGAGCTCGACAGAAAATATCGAGCTCCAGAAGAGGGTGGTAAGAAGGCGAAGTTTCGGGCTACTGTCGCACAGGTACTCAGCTGCATCCAACTGCTGGGTGGGTTAGCCGCGGAAGGGGTATCGATCGTGTTCGGGCCCGCCACTCTGTGCTTCAATGCCATATCGTTCTTGATCGACGTTCCGGGAAAGATCGCCAGTGTTTACGAGGGTGTCGGTAGCCTGTTCGAAGAGATCTCACATTTTCTCGTCCTGTTCAAGATCTATGGGCACTACACCACGCTGGACCCTGAACTTAGAGATGGCATTCACAAGCTTATGATGGTCAGTCTTTTTTAACATTGTACCGTACCGTCCGGCATATGTGTCGCAGCATTGCCTCTGTCTGTGAAAGCAGTTAGCTGATCCCAACTCTGAGAGCACATTAGTCAATGATCAGAATCTGCGGATTGTCGATCAAAATCATCGAGGGTGGGCTCTTCCATCACATCAAGATTGGGGCGAAAATCACCTTTTTGAATGATGACAGTGGTGTCAGGGCTGAGCTCGACAAGTTCAAGGCTCTGATTGACAAGCAAAGCCACGTCACAGAGGCCGTAACCCTGCAACACGTCCTCAGCAGCGAAGGCAAGCTGGTGGAGGTCCTCAACACCCAATATGAGAATGCCGAGAAGCTCAGCAATCTGGAAGGGAATATGAACATCGTCGTTGCCGATGTGACCGACCGCAGGATGCAAGTCATCCTCTCGGAGCGGGTGGAGCAGATGGCGACGATGGTGTCCATGACCAGGGAGTCTGCTGAAGAAGCAAGGAAATTGACGCTAAACATGATGGATAATCTTCTTCCAGGGACTGGACAGTGGTTGCTGGATGATGAGGACTACCAAGAGTGGAAGAGCCCCAATAAGGACACGATCCCCCTGCTTCTTCTGTCTGGAGATCCAAAGACTGGCAAATCATCTCTCTTGGCAAGTATCGAGAAGGACCTGCGCATAACTACCACGAGCACAGATGTTGCCATTGCGTATCATACATTCACCGGACGAGATGCGAGAGGCTCGAAAGATAAGAACAGGGACGAGTTAGTGTTCGCACTCAAGTCAATGGCCATTCAACTGGCGGGCCAATACAGACCTTATGCAAAAGAGATGGCTGCTCTCAAAGATGGTTTCAAGCCGCCTGAGGTTGGCAAAGAGAAAGACCCCGTCGAAAAGCTATGGTGGGACAAGCTGCATTTTTCGAGATCTTCTCAAACAAAGGAAGAGGCCAATTTCGTTCTGATCTTCGATGGTCTTGACGAATTGTCAGAAACCAATCGCGCGAGGTTTCTCAAACTCATCAAGACCATCCGGGACGAGGCCCGCACTCCGACCAAGACAGTTCGACAACATATGCGCATCATCGCCGCGGGCGCCCCGAAAGTGTTTGAGGGCAGATTTGAAACCATAGACATCTCGACACGCAATTCGTCTGACATCAGCTTGTACATTGAGGAAGAACTGAAAACCACTGAAGCCCTTCAGGGCCAACATGCGGAAATGCTCGCTCTCCTACAAGATGTCCGTGAAATTCTGCCAGCTGTCGCGCAGGGGTCTTTCTCTATCGTTCAACAAAAGCTGGAAAGGATCAAGGAGGCCGTCGACTCCGACGCGTACCTGGATGATGTTCGGACTATCTTGTGGGAGGATCCTGCTGAAGATTCAGGCAAATTGGCCAAAAAGGTCCTTGGCGACCTCAACGCAACTCTCAACGCCCACGAGATCGCCGAGTTGAGCGTGCTGCTCCACTGGTGCGTTTTCGGAGTCGGGCCTCTCACAACGGATGAACTGAGGGCCACCGTCTTTTTGAGTTCGGGAAAATCTTCGTTGCAACCGTTTGAGAGAAAGCTCACGAAGAAGTACACCAAAGTGCTCAAGGTTGAAGGGGACCAAGTGTTGGTAGAGCCGGAGATTGCACGACTATTCACCCTCCAGGGGAGCTCCGGGTGGGGGAATGAGTCCGCCTCCGTCCTCGACAACGCCAGAATCACCATGACTGTATCGATCAACCAAGCGGATCCGCGCACTGTGCAACAATTCTTCTGGGACCTGACCGAGCGCGTCGGCATTGGCAAGTTCGATTTCCTCACCATGTCCAACAACGATAGCAAGGGCACGATCCGCACGGATAGGGCTCAGGCGCACTACCATATCACAGAGCAACTGCTGAGACTTCTAAACGACGAGCCCCACGAGAAGACGCAGTGCCTGGTTCCCTATGCGATGCGAGAACTTCCCTCGCACCTCAAGGAGACCTACGACTCGTTGCACACAGTTGAGCTGGAGGCTACGCAGCGAAGGGACATCGCCAAAAGCCTTGTGGACCTCCTGGGCGACGTAGAGGGTATAGAGAAGTTCTGGAGCGCCGAAAAAGTAGTATCCTGGGACTGGTTAGAGCCCAAAAAAGCAGCCATCGTGGAAAATTGGCTGACTGACCCAAATACGGTTACCGCACTCCAACCGCGAGAGCGACGATGGATAAGGGACCACACAGCACCCACCGAGGGCAGAGGAGGTGTTTTCAAGCCCATTACTTTGATGGTGGCAAGACGCTGGCTTCGCGATCGTACTTGGTGGGCGAGTGAAGCATATATGTGGGTCCATAAATATATGCTATTGGTAGGCCCCATCTCTCTCACAAGGCTTTTGACATACTGACCAACCGGGAGCGAAACTCGGATGAGGAGCTGGAGGAACAACCCGTGTACTTGAAGGCTACGATAGAACGTCAAGAAGACGTGGACGATACATCGGGACCAGGCAGTATTGCAACACCAGAACGATCGCTTGAGGAGGACGTTTTCGATGCTGCAGCATGGGTGCAGCAGGCCCTGTCTCTCAACGACACGAACCTGGACGCATTGTGGTACGAGCGTATCGCGGAGACTTTTGCCCAAAACTATGAGCCTGCGGCCGCAAAGCAACAATGCGAGAAAGCGAAAGAACTTGGTGGTGGGTGGTCAGTCGATGAGATATGGGCGGTCGCAGTGGAGAAGATGAGTCGAGACGAGGACGACCCCGTGAGAAAGGAGGAATTAAAAACATTGGCATGCGAGAGGCTTGAGACGGTCGTCGAACACCTGAGGTCATCGTTCCAGACGCCCGAGGCCGGAGATGATGGGCGACAGGACCTCGCGCGAAACCTAGAGAGACTGGCAGACTGGCAGGCAGAGCTGAAATGCCTCGATCGCGCATTCGCACTATATGAGGAAGCGCTCGACATGGACCAGGGGAACCATTCTACCCGTGGCGTACTCCTCAAGGCTGTCTATGCGGAGGAAAGGGAAGAAGAAGCCAGGAACATGCTGGCGCGGATGGTCAACCAAAAGGAACCATCGTCAAATCTGGACCTTTTCCCGGCCTTTCTCTGGTATTTAGCTGTGAATGAGGCGGCATCTTTCTCACTCGAGCCGCTTCACATCATTCTATTCCTGGGTCAGGCGGATAAGGCTTTCAACGGTCACGTCCTCAGAGCCATCGAAACAGCGATTGCCGACGTTAGAAGGAGTAATGCAACAATCACTGAAGGTGTGCTCCTTCTCTATCAGGGCGTATGTCTGGCCCGGGGTACATCGGACGACTCACACATTCAACAAGCAATCCGATGCTGGGACGACTGCCAGTCTCTATACCTCCCATCAAGCTACGACTTGGTAAGAATCCGCCAAATGGCCGCACGCTTTGTGGCACAGCATTTCTTCCACCAAGCCAAGAATCCAGACATCTCGCCGGAAGAACGAGAGCAGAACTTCCAACAACTTCTGAGAATCAACCGCCCTGCCTCGCTATCGCCTAGTGGCTTCCAACCGACCTCCTATCTGGCGGCTTATTACGTTCTACAGGGTCAAGTCGAAGAGGCGCGCAAGCTATTTAGGGAGGATATGATTGCGGCATTCGTCATCCTCTCCGACCATGATCCGGACAATGATGTCTTCGGGTATAAGACTATCGCCAACCTCCTGATGCATACGGGCGACGACCTCAACGCGCTGAGTGCATGGTCATTGCTTGGACCTGATGACGTTTTCAAGATCCCCGACCAGGAAGCGCCCACCGAAAAGGGCTCCGACAGCACCAAGCTGCAGGAACTTGAGCTCTCTGACGAAGTCGAGGGTGTAGAAGTTGCTGCCGCATGGATCGAGGAAGATATTGACGTTCAGGATGCTACTGACCGTAATGGTCCGATCGGGTATAGTTGCGACGGCTTCTGTGGACGCAACTGGTGGTACGCCAACGATATCTATGTGTGTCGATACTGCCCGGACACGCAGTTTACCGACGACTGTGTGGAGAAGCTAAAGGCGAACAAGTTGGAACGATACATATGTGATCCTGGACACAGCTGGCTCCACGTGCCGAAATGGTCTGACCAGGATGCTCTAGAAGTCGGGCAGGGTAAGGTTCGTGCGCATGGGCAACTTGTGGATGGAAAGCGAGTTGGAGGAGACACCGTCGAGATACAGCAGTGGCTGGATGAGATTCGAGACATTTGGCGTCTGCCGAAGCTAGAGCAGCCGGTCACATGAGATAATAGAAATGAGATGGCACGGGGCAAGTTGACGGCAGAAAGGCGGAGGGAACTGGGTACAGCTTGATTTCTTCTATCTCGGCACTCCTCGTGGACATGGCAAAGTTGGAAACAGAGAAGATGATACTGCCCGGTCTCATCTGATTTACTCGCCAACCCAGCGTTTTAACAAAATCCACACCCACAATTTGAAGTCCTAAGAAGTCAAAAGACGGACGACATATAGGGCATATCTGAGAAGTCCAAACCTAGTACTCGAAGTACCCGTCAACACGGGCAACACCGCAGCGGGGTTTTCTCCATGCACGCAACTGCTTGAGCCGTTTGGCCAGAGCTTGCGAACAGCGCTTCCCACTGGTAGAAGGCTCACAGTCACATTTACGTTATCTACTCCGTAGTTCGGACCAAATTGTGCGCAACCGAATTGTACTCCGTACTCATTTGTTTTTACTTTTCGGTACGGAGCAATATTGTTGAAGCGAGGCTGAGAGGTGAGGCTGAGAGGACTCCGTAAACGGTTTAGCGTAGGGCCAAATCTCGGTTAAAGCAGCAGCTCCACCGTCGTTGCTGGGGCGCCCCCTTCCAAACAAAGCGCGTCACAGATGCTCATCCCTCGATCCTCACAGTAAGACAGGACTGAACTTTCAGTATCAGCATCACACTCGGCACTATAGCAACCATTAGTCCGTACACGAGCTACTAAACCAAACCTTCATCATGCGCGTAACTCGTGCAGCTTTGCGAGCTCAGGTTCAAGAAGAACCCCAAGCGCAACTTATCCACGAGGATGCCGACGCGGATTCCTTCCACACCTCAGCTGACAGCAACGCGAACGCGGAGGACTTGAGTCGGCAACCTTTGAAAGATATCACCACCGAGACTAACCCGCCGGGTCACGAAGATCCTTTTACCGACGAGTCAACGTTATCGCTCAAGAAGGCTAAGGGCAAGAAGAAAAGTAGACAGCCGAAGAAAGAGACGGTCGAGGCAAACGATACTGCCCACGAGGAACTTTTGCCTGACGTGGGAGACACACCGGCAGAAACCCACGCAGCCCTCGACTCAAATTCCACACCGCACCACGTTCCGGTTGAGGCTCCAAAGACCCCCAAATTCAACCCAGCCATCCACAAGCCGGTAGAAGGAATAGCAGCTTCGGCTGACGACGCCGTTGAGGACTCGTTTGTTGAGAAAATCACCTCGAGAACCCCAGGCAGGATGCTCTCGTCTGAAGGGGAGAGTAAATCGCCCGACTCCCTCGTCGAACGGATCACGTCGCGAACAGCACGAATTGAAGACTCGGTCGAGGCTATTGACGCGTTGGAAGATGCAATCGAAAAGATTGCTGAGACACTCCCGGCCTTGGAAGATCTGAAGATGGAGTCCCCAGTCAAGTCTAGGAAGAACAGCCCCGCTCGTATCAACCTTCCATCAGAGGGCCCTGCTTTGAGGTCAGCCAAGAAGGCCGGGGCAAGCCCAGCACGAACGCAGCGTGAGTTACTTGCAAAGCCACGAACCGCACCTAAAGCTAGCGATCGACCAAAGCCTCTCGTTTCGCGACAGTCGTCTGTCAAATCTACCGCCAAACCCGCTGTCGCTGCGAAGCCAGCCAGGAAACCGATCCCTGACGGACACAAACCTCGACCGACTCCTGCTCAACCTGCACCACCCTCGCTCTCCTTCTCGACCTCCCCAGCTAAGAGCTTGCCAAACACCACCAAGAAGCGCGTTCCTAGTGAGAATCTGTCAACCAGCAAGCCACCCTTTGTCCCCGCCAAATCCAGCAAACCACCGACCAAGCCAACGTTTCAACTACCAGGAGAGGCCATTTCCGCCAAGTTGAAAGCACACCGTGAAGAGCGGCTCAAACGTGAAGAAGAAGCCGAGAAGGAAAAGAAGGTTTTCAAGGCCCGTCCTGTGCCTGCCAAAGTAGCTCGACCTAGTGTCGTCCCACGAGAGAACAAGGCCAGTCAAGCAAGGATGAGTATCTACGCCAACGGAATCAACAAGGAGAATGTTGCCCCCAAGCCCGCTACTGTTTCGCAGCCAAAACCACGTCCCGTATCGCTGGATGCAAAACCTAAAGCGGCAGATTCAACCGCCACAAAAGCGAACTCCAGCGTTCGACGTACCACCACCACGACCACCACGACCCCCTCAGCCGCGGCACAGAAGCCACGTGTCTCGTCCCTGATACTGACAACCGGTCAAAAGTCCGCCATCACCAAGGACGATGTCGTCCACCAGAAAGCTAAAGGCAAAGAGGTCTTTGGCCGCACCAAAGCCGAACTGGAACGCGCGGAGAAAGAACGACGGGAGAAGGAAGAGGCCACCCGGAAGGCGAGGGCGGCGGCCGCAGAGAGAGGGCGGCAGGCCAGTCGCGAGTGGGCAGAAAAACAGAAGAAGAAGATCGCCCAGCAGGCACAGGCTAAGATTCTGGCGGCCAAGGCAAGCGAGGGTATTGAGCAGCAGGTGGGAGCAAGTGATGATGCTACTGGCACGGGCACGGTGGCCGCTGCTTCATAGGCTGATATGGCTGCCGCTGTGTGGGTTGACACTCAGAAACGGTGTGCCCGGTACATGAGCCGTGAAGGTGTGCGATTGAATTTCCAGAGCTGTTCTTCGAGCGTTGGAGTTGGAGTTGGTGTTGGTGTTGATGTCGACAAGGGAATGGCAATGGATTACTCTATGATTGTCGGAGCTGGAACCGCAGCTGGAACGACACGACCACGCTGCCATTCGAGTCTTTTGTGAGCGAGCTTTGCAAATCCACCAACTGAAACTGGTCGTCACTCTTTTATTCGGTACTATGCTCACCGGGGAGAGAGTTAGCTAGCTGCAGTAGCGACAACACAATACAGTAGCTAGAATGAAAGTATGATCAATCCAGTCAGTCAGTTCCTGTGATGTTGTGTGTTTTGTATCCTATATTGTGTTGTGTCGTGTTGTGTTCGCTTTCGTCGTTGTAATTAGTGCCCTCTCTTGCTCAGCGGCGTTGTGTAGTAGTTCTAGCTTGATATAGTATAATATCGTAGAGCAGAGCAGAGCAGAGCAGAGCAGCCCTTACATGGCATGATATACTACAATTATGTGATTTAGCGCCGCACAACGCAACGCAGCGTAACGCCTTAGATTAGATTAGCTGGGTTAGCTAGACCAGCTGGATTATCTGGATGGATGGAAGGATGAATCGATGATAGGCTCGATGGACGGGTACTACATTGACTATCCTGTTCTATAAAGTCCTCTTCTTCTCTGTCATAACCCGGTCCTGCGCTTTCCTGTCCTGTCCTGGCCTACTCTGCCCTGTCCTGGCCTACTCTGCCCTGTCCTCTTCGCATTGCCTTGCCCCACCCTTCCAGTCCTGTGCTGTGCTGTTCTGCGACGAGAAGGCTTGTGGCATGCCAGTCTAGTGTAAAGAACAGGCACTCTACCCAGTATGTATGCACATGAGTACATCCGTACGTCCGACTTCCGTCCTCGGTCCTCCCAGACAGAGGCTCCACCGATTCTTCCTGAGTTCACTTAGACAGTAGAAAGTCTCAGCTCTTCGCCTGGTGTGACTGGCTGGCTGGCTGGCTGGCTGGCTGGCTGGATCGCTTGCTGCCAGCCCCACCCGACTGAACGACCGATAGAGCGGTGCTATTGTACCACGCACGCTGATGTAGAAGAGGTAGAAACCGAAGTCGTCGAGGTAGACGGAAACACAGAGAGGGTATACCCTTACTTGTTCGCAATATCGTCTGTCACCTGCGCAGCGATTGCATCCACGTCCACATTGCTGTGTGGCTGACTTTGGGCGGTTTCGGATCCCGCTCGTTCGGGTACCTTGATCGTCGCATCTCTGGTACTGTAGCAACTGTAGCACGCGTTGTTTTTGGCCTGTTGTTTCTCCCTAGGCAGTCTGAGATCTGAACTCTTTCTTTCATCCTCCACCACCCGTCTTTGGTTGCACCGGTATCCTCACGAGGGGGACAGGCAACTCCAGCTGCGGTTGCTGGTGGTCCTTCGGTCTTCTTCCGTTCTCCTCTTCCACTCCATCACCACAACCGCCATCATCATCATCATGTTCAGCCTTTGATACTGGCGTCGGCACCGTCATCCCGACCATCCGAATCACGCCCAATACGTTCTCCCAGTTCGCGAGCACGAGGCCCACGCTCTGCGCCCCGTCGTTCAATTGCCCCAGTTTCGCCTGGAGGGTTTCCAGCTGCGAGGTCAGTTCGGCGGACAAGTCGCGCAGCTGCGTCAGGTTGTGGAGTTCTTGGCGTTTTTGGGCGATGCGGGCTTGCAGTGCTGAGGAGGGGTTTTGGCTCAGACTTGATCGGCTCGTATTCGTGAAGGTGCTCGCGTTTGGGTTTGTTGTGAAGGAACGGGTGGGCTGAGCCATGGTTGTATTGAGCCTCGGGTTTGCGTTTCTTGCGCTGATTTTGCTGTTCAGAAAGCAAGGTTTCTCCCCATTTGTTCGCGATGCTGCGCTCGAGCTCAGGGGAGAGGAAGGTACAAGTACGGAGTAATTGCTGTGTCAATGAATGGCGCAGTTTACCCTACCCTCCACATTGTGCACGTTGTCCCGTAAGTGAGGGGCACGCGGAATTTTGAGTTTGCTCAAGTCGCGCGTGTGATTGGACGAGTACCGCAAGCTAGTCCGCAATAGGCCTTTTGTTTTGCCATGCTGCTTTTGTACGATCAACGTCGCTGCACGCACTTTGGCTTCACTCTATTGTATATTGCTGCATACAGTTGCTACGAGCCGCAGAACAACTTTACACTCCGTCTGGGGATGTATTCTGGCAACTGCGCCTCCCATAACTCATTTTCCCGACAAATTGACATGCAATGGCCAAACTCAACGAGCAGCCTCCCGCGCCGCCAGCCGAAAGTTTTGATGCCTGTAAGTCCTTATAGTCCGCTCTGTGCGCCTCCACCTCGGGTCGGCGACACTGTATCTAACAATAAATCACAGTAAAGCGCCGCTTCATCCGCCAGAACCGCGAGATCGCCCGGGTCAACTCAACCCAGTCGCAGCGTATTCGTAACCTCGAAACCGAAATCTCTCGCCTCGTCGCCGACAATATATCCCTGCGCGAACAAGCAATTGCCGCTCAGGCGGAGGCGGAGAGATGGCGCGCCGCAAGCAGCATCAACAACGAGATTTTCGACCTCAGGGACCGATTGCAGAAAAAGATGGAGGAAGTGGGCGAATTGGTCGGAGAGATGGGCCGAATACCTGAGAAAGTGGCACGGAAAGGGCGACGAAAGAGCCGCCTTACCAACGTCGGGCAGAGATTGAGTTCAGCTACGGAGGAAGAATGGAGGAATCGGCTGTCGATGAGGGAGGCGACCGCGGCAGAGGGAGAGCTGAATGACGGAAGATTACCCGCCATTCGTGAAGACAAGCTCTACCCCAGGCGAACACTGGAGAATGCCGAATTGTCTGTACTACGCGAGGAGGCGGCAATGCAACAGGCCTCAGAGTCGCCGGAGTTAGGGCCCCCGCCGGAAGTACACTTCGACGTCAACGAGCCGATTGGCATGGACCTGGCGAGGACGTCGGAGCTCGAGACTGGCGGCGAAGACGCTATGCAATTGCCGTCAATGCTAGAGAGAAGACGGAAACGTCGGACCAGTGCCTTACTGCAGACGATGCCGCCGGAAGAGCCTGCCCATGAAGCATCCGAAGAGCCACCTCAACCCCAAGATCTACCCGTGCCCAAGCTGGGCCAACAGCCCCTGAAATCCGGTGCTAAACGGAAGCTTGATGCGTCAGAACTCGACGGACCAGTTATACAGCAGCCTCAGAGTGAGGATGACGACTTTATCTTTCAACGGCGGCAGGAGATATGCAACTCGGCCGCTACCGGCACGAAGAAAGGGTCCAGGTTCACGAGGCCACCTGGCAGGGAGAACGCCACAGGTGTACGGACAGAAACTCAATCTCCACAGAAGGCCACAATCGCAACTAGAAGGATCCTTGCACCCAAGAGCACCAACTCTCCCACGAAGAGGAGAATACATGTCTCCGAGAAGCCCAAAGACGGCCGAGAGGAGGAAGCAAAGCAAGACGCGATCAGGCCGGTTCGCCGGACCAATCCTCCGCCACAAATCAACACGGAAAGCCTTGCCAAGTCCGCAGACGACAGAGATGGCGGAGAGAAGGATCTTCTGCCAAAGACGCCAGCTGGAGACGTCGAAGGTATACTGTCGCCCTTGTCCACAGAGCCTTCTGCTCGAAATCCGCCTCGACCCAAGGAAACAGCAGTCTTGAGTTCGGTCGAGGATGTCCTCAACGGAAGCGTTGGCCGGGGGTCTCGCCGAGCACGAGCTGCGGTAAGCTATGCGGAGCCTAACCTGAGAGATAAGATGAGAAGGCCTGGCAAAGAACTTGTAGGTGCTGTGGAAGGATTGGAGCGAAACAAGGAGAGCACTGCGGGCTCCAGGGGAGCAAGTGTTGATCGGAGCAAGTCTGAGGATCCCAAGGTCAATGAAGATCAATGCAAGGTGATCAATATCAAGCAGGAGAAAGAGGCCGACGCAGAAAGCCGGTGGAAGGATCTTCCCTTGCGCAACAACGACGACCCGGCCAGTCCGCTAAGGGATAAGGAGAGGAAAGAGCGAACAAACAATGACAGCAAGAAACATGCTGAGGCACACAACGTTGCAGAAGCCCTGGTCAAAGCCACCGACCGGCTGAGTATATTCGACCCGCCAGTATCCTCGCCTATGGAAGCTGTTGAAGAAGCGGACACCGATCGAAGCGGCCATCCACGACCATCGACAGCAAGACAGAAACCCTCCGCGAACAGCTTGACCACCCGGAGGCATTCGGTGCAGCCATCCTCTTCCGCCTGCTCAGCCGCCGATACGGATTCTCGTCACGGTCCTGGCCCAGAAGGGAGACACTCCACCGCGCGAGTTGCCCCTGCACGCCCAGGTTCTGCGGCCAGTACGCGTAGTGAGCAAATGGCCAGCATTGCGAGGGACATCAAGCGCTCAAACAGCGTCAACTTGAACCTGAAAGCGAGCGAGACATCATCCGGCGGTGATGCTGGTTCCGCTTTGAGTTCGAGAGCGGAAAGGACGTTGAATCGTCGGCGGAGCATGATGGTCTAGGACTCTAAGGCGGACAGTTGCTTCCGCTTGCGATGTGTCGTTTGAGACGCAGCCCTTGTCCCTGTGGTTCGGGCATTTCCTTGTTGATTTATAGGTTGGATATGCTCTCATTGATGAGCGAGACTGCCGGTTATCCTGTTGTTCAAGCAAGCGTGGTGCTAGAGGCGGAGGTCGAAAATGCAGTCTTTCTTTCACTGAGCCATCTTCCAACATGACAGTTTCATTACCTTTTGCTTTCATCCGTGTCCATTCGTACGGCCATAATCTACACTCTCAGCCATACCCATCACCACATTCTCCAACCTCTTGACATATCCTCGCATCTCCTTTCGCTTCTCCTTCCTCCGTGTCTCCATCTCTCTGACCTTCTCCACCAACGCCCGAATCTCCTCTGCCTGCTGTTCTTCACCCCTCCCAATCCCCGGTAATCGTGAAATCAACAACTCGATCTGCTGGCCCTTGAGCACAAGGTCCTCTGCCAGCTCCTGCTGAGCGTTTTCGAAGGTCTGCTGTGATACGGGGCGGAGTGGGTAGGGTGCGCGCTCTGTATCCTCTGGACCGGGGTTCATCCCGGACGTGGACTGGGTTTGGGACGGGTCGGCGGGGTTGGGTGTTTGAGACGCCGCCGCGGCGGCGGAGGGTGGGTTTGTAAATGGGTCATTCGGATCGGGGTCAGGCGCGACGAGAGGGTGCCGTTGAGAGAGGTAGGAGATTGTGGAGAAGAACTGTGTGAGGAGTTGGTCGTAGCAAGTTTGTAGTTGGGTGAGGATGTCGGAGGACATGGTGGCGGATGGTGGTGTACAAGCAGGCCACTCTGGAGGTGAGGGTCTTAGGTAGAGTAATTACTCCGAACAATGGCGAGGAATCGCTGAGTGCACAAGGCTGAGTAAATAGGCGTGACAAGGCTTTAGGTGGGGTGCGGGTTATCGCCAGGAGCTTAATTGCACATGCCCATAAGCTACCAACCTTGCCCACGCGCCAATGTCAAAGGGCACTCCCGGACACAGCCCGCGCTCTTAGGCAGTCGTCAGCTCAGCCTTGTCGCCATTAGGGCAATACTAATTATTGTCCCTTCTATTTGCCTCTGGCAGTTTCCCTCGACACCGATGCCAACGCCGTCTGCCCGTCCTTTTGATCGTCGACACACGTGTTATTCTCTTCTCACGTTCTCCTCTAACCCATAACCACGGACATGTCACTTCGTCCTAAACTGTGATCCTGAACATACGTCACTGAGGCGTCGTCCTCCGTACTCACAGCCCTCTACACAGACCCCGCCACTACTCCCACCATGCATCAGTCATTCACAGGCAGTGCCCGCAAAGCCCGACAAGTCAATCTCTCGGGGCGCAACACTACAAATCCTTGGGCCGCGCTCTCAAAGTCCGGACAAGGCTCCTCCCCAGCCGGAACCAACCCAGTCGCTCAAGCCCAAGCCGATCGAGTCAAGCGACAACAAGAGAGAGATAGACTGAACGCTTCCCGAAAAATCCAGAAAGTCTGGCGTGGCCACTCGACACGGCGAAAAGAGAAGGCCGTATTAAGACAGACATGGGATGAAAATGAACGGTTGAGACTTGGGAGAGACGCGGAGGTCGATTACCGAGTCCTGGTTGACAATGAGGAGTCGATACCGGGATACGAGAATTCAGACCAGTTGCTGGTTCAGCTCAGACTTTTGCTGCAGTATCAGGAGTACAGGCGGGCCAGAGTCAGAGATGAGATGGATACATTCCGACTGCTCTATTTCGGCCAGGCCCTGCACCCCACGCTGCTCTCGTTACAAGGGTCTCTTGTTGACCATGTCTGGAGGTTCAACCTCTCACGGCTGGGCCTGGTCGTTTCCCTCCACTTGAAAAGCATTCTGATTGATGAATCGACCTCGAGAATGACTTATGGGCCGAGATTACTAAAGATGATTTCCATGATCGCTATCTATGTCTCGGACGACATGGTGAGAGACTCGACTACCTATTTTGAAACGATCGAACTGGCCTTAGCATCACAAAAGGGGGAGGGGTGGCAGAAAGGCTCTCTTGAAGCGATATGGGCTCTCTTGAGGTATCCAACACAAAAACAGCCAGCATACAGAGCTTTTGTCACCAGGCTGATGAGTGAACCATCATATGCCGACGACAGTGCTGTTTTGGCAAGACTTGCAACTCCGTTGGATTTGACTCAATTATCAACCGCGATAACCGAGATGCTGGAGGATGAGGATGCCGCGAAGACCGATGCCTTGACCACGACAGAGAGATTATGGCAACTGGCATATCTCGTGTACTTCCACGACGCCATTCAGCGGGGCTCTGCTGATCGCGCTTACATTGAGGCACTCTCGGCACTCCTGGGAGAATGTGCCAACGAGATCGCCGAACGATATGAGCAGGCCGACCACCTAATGTCTGGCGACAACAGCAAGAACTCGTCGGCGCCTTTACCTCCGTTCGTGCGTGAGATGATATCTAGAATACCACAACAGGACAATCTGCAAGCAGTCCTCGATGAGATGGGTTCATCACAATCGTCCACCGAAGATACTGGCGGAACTGACTTCCAATCGGCAAAGCGCCTGGCAAACTTCGCTGTTGCTCTGCTGAGGGCGTTTCCAGCGCAGGCTCAGAATATACGGATGGCCCTGTACCGAGGCTCCGTCAAGACAGTTGGCAATGCAGATGTTTCGACTATTCAGTACTTCTGGAACACAGCACGAGGAACAGGCGTCTTCAAGAAGATTACACGAGACCACAGGATTGTGCTGTCTTTGCTACGAGAAGCTGCTCCTCCGACGAACCAGATCGGTCAGGCCCCAGTCTCCAAAGCCGAGATAGGTCAGTGGCGAGACGAATGGCGGATAACCCTGTTGTTCCTGGAGCTCTACACTTTCGTCCTCAAGTTCATGGATGACGAAGACTTCTTCTCCTACGATAAGTCGCATGCGTTCGGAGCGACTACAACATCTCCCATAAGTGTGTTGTCGCGAAAGGGCTCACTGCCTCTGAATGACGTCGCTCAAATGACAATCTTTCTGAAGAATTTGGCCTTCGTGTTGTACTGGAACGCTGCCGAGCTGGTCGAGAGTAACGAGCATGAGGAGGACGTTGGAATCTCTGCGCTCTTTGGTGGTTCCTTACACTCGAGTAACAGGCAACCAGAAAAGAAACAGCAGACGCTGACTGGCAATGGCGTGTCGCAAGGCTATTTGAAGGGTCTAGTAACGGGCCTCCTGCGTATGCTGCACGAGAGAGATTCCCGGCGTTCCTTCGTCCCTCCCGGCCATTGGCTGATGACCAACCAGGTAAGCATGGCTGGTTTCATCCCAGCCGTTGTTGCCGAAGAGGAACGAAGGCATGAGCTTGGTGAAGACGAGGATGCAGACGACCAGCAAGATGACTTCGACAAAGACGCCGAGTTGGACGAGTCGGCAGGCTCAATGCCAGGTGAGATGCTGCTCAATACCATGTTCGGCATCCGACCTTCGCACATACCACGAAGTCGAGCTTCGAGAATGGCGGATCGCATCGAAAAGCAGCGATTACAAGCCAGGAAGAAGAGACAACTGGAGTCACTTGCACCGCGTCTGGAAATCCTTCGCAATCTGCCCTTCTTCATCCCTTTCGAGACAAGAGTCCAGATCTTCCGAGAATTTGTCTACCGAGATCAACTTCGACGACGAGATGGTGCGATTGATCCTGATACGTGGCGAATGTCCGTTGTCACGAGCACGCAAGGCCGTGGAACTGATGGCAGGCCCAGGGGCGTCGACATCATCTCCCGCCATCATGCCGAGATTCGTCGTGAGAAGGTCTTCGAAGACGCATATGAAGCTTTTTACGGGCTTGGTGAAGGACTCAAAGAGCCGATCCAAATCACGTTTATCGACAAGTTTGGTGCTCCCGAAGCTGGCATTGATGGAGGGGGTGTCACGAAAGAGTTCCTCATGAGCGTCACCAGCGAGGCCTTTGATCCCGATGCCAGCCTGGCGATGTTCAAGGAGAATGCCCAGCGGTACCTCTATCCTAATCCTCTGATTTATCAAGAGACTGCAGCATATCTGAAGCGAGCTGGCCGGAAGCCGGGCACCGAAGGCTTTGATTTCCCGATGGCTGAGTTCCTGCGTCGGTTCCAATTCCTGGGCAGAGTCGTCGGAAAGTGTTTGTACGAGGGGATTCTGATCGACGTGAGCTTCGCTGGTTTCTTCCTGCTCAAGTGGGCTCTAACTGGCGGCACTACCGTCGGCTCAAACGAGTCTGCCTATCGTGCAACCATCAATGACCTTCGAGAATACGACGAGGAACTGTACCAAGGTCTACTGAAGCTGAAGAACTACCCTGGCGATGTCGAGAATGACTTTGGACTTGACTTTACAGTCACCGACACGATTACCATTGAAGACGAGCGACATAACGAGGTACACCAAACTATCACGACAGAGTTGATCACAAATGGCGCCAATACACCGGTCACAAATACGAATCGACTGGTCTACATCGACCGGATCGTCCGATACCGATTGCAGCAGCAACCCAAAGCAGTCACAGACGCATTTCTCAAAGGCCTTGGACAGATCATCCAACCCATGTGGCTTGCCATGTTCAATCAGAAAGAACTCCAGAAGCTCGTTGGTGGGGACAACAGCGAGCTTGACATCGCGGACCTTCGCCGTAACACACAATATGGCGGACTCTATGTCATCGGCGACGACGGCCAGGAGCATCCTACCGTCCAACTCTTTTGGAAAGCTTTGCAGGAGATGTCGGACAGCGACAGACGGAAAGTCCTCAAATTCGTCACCAGCACGCCCCGCGCACCGTTGTTAGGCTTCAGCCACCTGAATCCGAGATTCAGTATCCGCGACTCCAGCGAGGATCAGGAGCGGTTGCCGAGCACGAGTACTTGTGTCAATCTGCTGAAGTTGCCTCGGTATGGGGATATCAAGACGATGAAGGAGAAGCTTCTGTATGCAGTCAATTCAGGCGCGGGATTTGACTTGTCCTAAGGGAAGAGAAGGGGGGCCCGGAAGACGCTGCGTGAGTGCAAGGATAGATTTTGAGCCGGGCGGACACGAGCAGGCAGGCAACACAAGGCGACGCAGTCGTGAGGCGGTGACGTGTATCGCTCCGGGATAGAATAGACCTCTTCGACCGTCCGTGGGTGGTCCGCGACATGTGTCATTCATTTGTCAGCCCCGTGTATCTTCTCCTGTCCTTTTGGTGACCCGGTGCCTGAATGGACGCGGGCCTTCAAGTCATCCAGGCGGACTCCACGATTACCTTGGCCTAGTCTATGACGAAATTCCAAATATCGATGCCCACGCTGTAGAGGGCTGACATTCCTTCTCGCTTGAGGGTCTTGATACTCGTAGAGCCTGACGATCAGGAAGACAGTCAGCACGGCCTAGCTAAACGCTACCGCCCGCTTATACGGGACTGGTCTGGGAGCGGTATGAAGCGCCCCAGTTGGCCGCATTGGCCATAACATCCAGACATACCGTTTCCTAGTAGGGCGGTCGGACGAGATTCCCCAAGGCCGGAACAAGCATACATATTAGATCTCGACGTCCGTCTCTGAGGTCTGAAAGGTGAACTGCGGTTATTCTCCTTCTCTGCTGCGAAACCGTTACGGGTCTATCTCTGGCACGTTGTATCGACCAACCAACTTCGACGCCCCTGAATTCGCGAACCCTAGTTTTTCATTGAGCACGGTTATTCCTCGAGGCAACGGCACGATGAAGGAAAGACCACAGCTCTCGGCTGGGGATTATCTCTCTTTGCTCCTCGCCATGACGAGATGCCGTACGTATTGCCAATCTCGTTGATCAGCTGGGTGCGGGCGTGCAAGCTCCTTTTCTCAACTGCATTTCCTTGTATTACGCCTGACGCTTCTTCTGCTTCTTCCACCAAGAACGGGGGTCAATTTCTTTCCCGCATGCAGTATATGTATATGCCGTGACTAACTTTTTGTTCTCGCCTTGGAATGAGCAGTTGGCGCATTGACATACTCGACCCTGACCGGTTGGGCGAGGGGCGAAGACTGCCCAAAGGCGTACAAGCGGCATGTCATCTACAGTGTGATGAGGAGTGCGTTCGCGGGATTGACGGTCAAGCAGTTCCAGTGAGTCTCCCCTGTCAATCGTCCGGCGCAGAGGGACCAACGACTCGTGCGATGCCCCTCCCCCCATTGTGGTTGTGTCGTTGTACTGTAGGACGAGACCTTGTGCTTACACATGTTCTGACGAAGGGCCGTCCAACCGACCACCTCGGAAGGGTACCAGACATTTTGCAAGAAGCAGAAATTCACGCCCGAGGTTGTCGAGTTGGAGCACGGTGCGACTGGATGCTTTTTGGGGCCCCAAACGGCCAAGAAGACGCTGGTCTGGTTTCACGGTATGCGTGGCACCCTTCTCTCAGCCGCGTTTGGCATCGACGTTCGATCGTTGGGGGAATCAGTCTGATTTGAAGTTCGACAGGTGGTGGGTATAATTTGGCAGCCTCGGATGAGCACTGGAGGATGCTGTGGGATTGGATTGAGCTGGTCAAGAACAATGGCGCGGAGCTGAGGGTGATGGTTCTCGAGTACGGTAAGGCGAGACTCCGTTTTACATCCAAGACAGGCAAGGGCGGCTGACTTGGACGTACAGAACTGGCGCCTTATGGTGTGTTTCCTTTGCAGCTCAAGCAGGCGGTTGCCTCGATCCAACACCTGCTGGACTCGGGCTTGCAGCCTTCCCAGGTGAGTGCTTAGCCACCCAGGCTTCGACCTCCACGAAATGGCCCGGAAAGTGCTGACCCCATGGTCTTTCTAGATTCTGATAGGCGGAGATTCGGCAGGAGGGAACCTCGCAACAGCATTCACTGCCCACCTGACTCATACTCACCCCAGTGTTCCCGCTATCAACCTGTCCAGCAACATCGGAGGGGCGCTCCTCGTGTCTCCCTGGGTCTGCTTCACCCAGGAACGAGCCTCGTGGAAGAGCAACCATAAGAATGACGCGCTCGACCCGGCGACGGTCAGAATATGGTCCGACAATTTCATGGGCAAGACGCCCAACGACAACTGGAGTCAGCCTGCCGAAGCACCGGCAGAGTGGTGGAAGGACTTAAAGGTGGATAACATCGCCATCACAGCGGGGGGGAACGAGGTGTTGAGGGACGATATTCGGGTCCTTGCTGAAAACATCAAGGTGAGTGAGCTCTCAGCCAGCAAAGGCACAAAATGTGCTGTGTGGGACTTGCGAGTTGACAATGGCCCGACAGGTCCATAATCCTCAGGTCGAATACTTCGAAGCGCCGGGAGAGGCGCATGATGCCATCATCGTGGATAAGGCGCTTGGATTGAAGGAGGATTTTGCTTCGGGGCAGTTCGTGCGCAAGTGGGTTCTGGCGAGGGTGAAATAGGGAGGACAAGGAAGAGATTGAGAGCGATGGCGACGGTGACAGCCACGACGGTATTTCGATCATTGTCAGTTGTCGTCGCCAGGATAGGCTGAGGCTCGAGACGGCAGAGGCAGAGGGTTGCACAACAACGTGGCTGCACCTCCCGCCGTCCTGCCACCCTCCACGCCGTTCTCACACTCCCTGGCACGGCGATAGGCAGAAGGAAATGCAAAGGCTGTGTGCTGGGACACGAAAGGTCGGAGCAGCGAATGAACCGTCGCGCATTTTACACGCTCCCCACGGTCCATTAATTACCATGAGCTTGGGACATCTGCCCTGCGCTGCCCTGCATTGCACCCACTGGGTCGTGCTCTCAGGCTCGCCAGTTACTTCTAATGGGCGGCTTGCAGTAAATCTCTCTCCCCCCCGGGCCTAAGTCAGATGCCCTTAAACGCCCCTGCGCCTCTGTTGGCCGTTCCCCCCTCGCCCCGTTGACCCCCAAATGATCGCCATCGCGTGAACACCACGGCCCTTTGCAGAATCCAGACCCTACAGCAACCCAATCGTTTACTGAGCATCCCTCTCCACCTGACTACTCGAGGTGAAAAGCCTTGCACCTTTCCGAGTCTGCGTTCCCTGCTGCTGCCAAAAGCAAATACACCGTCCATCCATGTCGAATGCGCGGGGTGCAGCCTCGCTATCCAGCCGGTCAAGACCATTCCTCTAGCTCTACTACGCGCCGCCTTCCATCCGAAGCACTTGGGACCATAGCGGGCCGGCCCTCGATCGAGCTCCAAACCCTCGACGCCCGTGGCAAGCACTCGCACGCAGCCAGGCGGCTCGAAAAACGACTCTCCAAACTCGAACAGCTCGCCGACCGAGACGAAGCCATGAAGTTCTCCCACAGCATTCAGTTCAACGCCGTGCCCGACTGGAGCAGCCACTACATCGCCTACAGCAATCTCAAAAAGCTCATCTACACTCTTGAGAAGCAAATCAACCGACCGCCGGGCGAAGCGCAGACACAGGAAGATGAGGAGAACACAGCGCTGCTGGGCGGATCCCTCGATCCGGACACCACGTTCAAGCGCATGCTGGACTCGGAGCTGGACAAGGTCTGCTCGTTCTATCGCTTGAAAGAGCTGGAGATCTTCGGCGAACTGGATCACCTGTTGAAAGATGCCGAGAACTATAAAGCCGAGACGCACGATCTGGACATGGACGCCGTGGTCGAAGCGGAAAATCGAAGGAAAGCCCAGCGCTCGTCGAGTATCTTCAACGTCCCCTTCCGACGGAAGCGAAGAACCTCGACCATGAGCATCAGCTTCGAGGAGCCCGAGGGCGACGACAGCGATAGTGACGCCGAGGACAGTGCCGCCATGATCAAGAGGAAGAAGCCGTCGACGGGGAGGCCGAGGAGTAAATCCGCCTGGGACGGCGAGGCATCGGCCCATTCGGCCATGGCTGATTCGCGCGAGGACCTGAGATCGCCTGATTCACCGACCTTCATGAGGAGGCGGCCGAGTCTTGCCATGGAGTTGGAGGCTTCCGAGCCCGGTCAGTTGTCAGCACTGTACGACTCGGGCATCAATCTGAAAAAGCGGACAATCAGCCTCTACGTCTCGCTGTGTGAGCTGAAGTCGTTCATTCAGCTGAACCAGACGGGCTTTAAGAAAGCCGCGAAGAAGTACGACAAGGTGTGCAACCGCGACATCCGGAAGGACTACATGGAGAAGTCGGTCAATCCGTCATATCCCTTCCAAGAGAAGACCATGGTCCATCTGGACGAGAACATCGCTAAGATCGAGAAACTCTACGCCGACGTCGTCACGAAAGGCGACCAGGCCATGGCCAGGAGAGAGCTGCGTCTCCATCTGCGCGAGCATGTCGTCTGGGAACGAAACACCGTGTGGCGCGAGATGATCGGCATTGAACGGAAAGCTCAAGCGGCCAACTTCGGTATCAGGCAGACTCTGCTGGGCGGGGTGCAAGATCCGTCCAAAGCCCGATTACAAGGCGATCGCGAAGCCATCGAGACCAAGGAGTTCGTCACCCCGGTCGGACGCTACAGGTGTCCGAAGTGGCTCTTCAGCGGCACCTTCTTCGCCTTGGTCGGCATCCTCGCGATATTCCTGGCCCTGCTGTACGTGCCGATCATGAAGAAACCCGAACAGCAAAACTGTCTGGCCATGTTGGTCTTTGTTTCCCTCCTCTGGGCCACGGAAGTGATACCCCTGTTCGTCACCTCGCTGCTCATCCCCTTCCTCGTGGTCGTCCTGCGGATCATGCGCTCGGACGACAAACCCCATCAACGACTGGACTCGAAAGCGGCGACCAAGGCCGTGTTCGCAGCCATGTGGACGCCCGTGATCATGCTCCTGTTGGGAGGCTTCACCATCGCGGCCGCACTTTCGAAATACCACATTGCCAAGATGATGGCCACGTTCGTGCTCAGCAAGGCTGGCACCAAGGCCCGCAACGTGCTGATCACGAACATGTTCGTGGGCATGTTTCTGAGCATGTGGATCTCCAACGTCGCGGCCCCGGTGCTGTGTTTCAGCATCATTCAACCCATGTTGCGCAACCTACCCAGCGACAGCGATATGTCCAAGGCGTTGATACTGGGGATCGCACTGGCGAGCAATATCGGCGGAGCAGCCTCCCCGATCGCCAGTCCCCAGAACATCATCGCGCTGCAGAACATGAAGCCCGCGCCGAGCTGGGGGGTGTGGTTCTTCATTGCGCTCCCGGTGTGCATATTGAGCATTGTGCTCATTTGGCTGCTATTACTCGTCACCTTCAAGCCCGGCAAGGGCACGACAATTGTCCCGATCCGCCCCATGAAAGACCGTCTGAACGGCGTCCAATACTTCATCATCTTCGTCACCTTGGTCACCATCGTCTTGTGGTGCACGAGCCACCAGTTGGAGAGTGTGTTTGGAGACATGGGCGTCATTGCGATCATCCCCCTGGTTCTCTTCTTCGGCACGGGCATTCTCACGAAAGAAGACTTCAACAACTTCTTGTGGACCATCATCATCCTCGCGGCGGGCGGATTGTCGCTCGGTCGCGCCGTGTCGTCCTCGGGCCTCTTACACACCATCGCCCGCTCCATCACGGAACAGGTCGACAACCTGTCCATCTACGGCGTCCTGGTCGTGTTCGCGGCCTTGGTCCTCGTGGTCGCCACCTTTATTTCCCACACGGTGGCCGCGCTGATCATCCTGCCCCTGGTGCAGCAGGTCGGCCAGGGGATGAAGGAACCGCATCCGAATCTACTGGTCATGGGCGCGGCGTTGATGTGCAGCGCTGCCATGGGGTTGCCGACGAGTGGATTTCCAAACATGAGTGAGTTTACTCTTGCTCCTTTTCTTGTGGTGTCTCTTATCACGCGACTCCTAAACTCCCTGAATTGACTCTGTATACTTTACTAACCTCGCGCGTGTCACTCACAGCTGCGATCATGATGGAAGTCCCCGAAACAGGCGTGCGGTATCTGCGCGTCAAGCATTTCTTGACCAGAGGCGTGCCTGCGTCAATCATCACCTTTGCGATCGTCATCACCGTGGGATACGGTTTGATGATGGCGGCTGGACTTTGATGGTGTCGCGTGTAATCTCGTTTCTGGACAAACATTGCCTGTTGATCGCCGGATAGGTACCTAAGGATGTATTGTATTTCTCCGGGCTTCGATACGTACGTGCGTACAGGCAGGCAAATAAGCATATGAACAAACAAACGCCCATCATCATGCGAGCATGTGTACGTTATACATAAAGGGCTGTATACCGGGAGACGTATGCTGCATAATAAGTACGGAGTACCAAGTACTAAGTACCAAGGTCTAAGTACCAAGTACTTTAATCGCACAACGCGGTCATGTCCTCGCGAGTGGTTTCCCTCTACCTAACATTTCTATTCCGTTTCCTATGGCTATTATCGTTCCTATCGCCGTTCCTATTCCTATTCTATTGCCGTTCCCATTTATATTCCTTTCCAAGTTCCCACTTCTCTACGCTCTGATTTCGACCCTCCGTTCAAGGGCGTACAAGTATGATCTCGAGCTGGCCCGGCTCGAACAGCGTCACACGGTCCAGGGCATTCCAACAAGGTTGATTCATGTGCTGTGCTGTGCTTGGCTTGGACGAGCCCGAATCTGAAAGTAAGAAGGTATTATGTACTGTATACTGTGTACTGAGTATAGTGCTGTGTATGTGTACTGTAGAATCGACACTATAGATAGGTGTCATGTACTGAGTACAGTTGTACACTGTAGGGTAGAATCGACACTCTACATACGTATCACGTACTGTACACTCTGCAGTAGAAACTTGAATACCCAAGTAGTTTTCATGGCGTTATTAGTGCGATGGCGATGGCGAGGGCGATGACATGTTCCGTATTGATCGATCTTGCCATCGACTTCCGCCGTGCGTGGCTCACTCACTACCTACCTGGCTGGCTACCTGCCTGCCTGCCTGGTTAGGAGGAGACAATAGTGTACCAGTACTCCATACATTTTGACTTCTCTTTCCTTTCCTTTACATTCCATACCTCTTGCGACAGGATCAGGCATTGGACAACAGGTCAGTCTCACTTACAGTACCGTTACCAATTTGGACGGGGCTTAGGGTCAATGGTACAGGAGTCGCAAAACACAGTCCTTCTCTATTCTTAAATCTCGATATGAGTTGCTGAATGCCAGCTGTGGTCTGTGGAACCATGGGAGTTTCCCTCCGTACGATGGCCTCAGGTAGTTGTAGAAACGGCGGAGCGGATTCTATACCAAGCTAATTGGTGGCTTCGCCGCGCCAATGCCTCGATATGCCACACCCTGGTTGGTCGCCTTGGAACAGTTTCGACATGCCACCGGGCTCATAGATTCTGGAGATCCGCCTGTACATCTGTCTGTCGTGTACATGACAGATGGGCTCGATTGACTTCCAGCAGGAGAAGAGGACTCCATTAGGAAGAGGGGGATTATACCCTTTTCATCGGCCAAATTCCCTTGCTTCCCACTCGCTTCGATACCTTCACAACCATCCACTTGCTCAGCAGGGTGAAGAGACCGGGCATCGAGCCATGACAGTCCGATTGTCTATCCCTGACTTATATGTTCTCATCACTATAACTTCGCTGTTGGTCGGCCCGCGAGATTTGCCTTTCTGCAAGAACAACGGTTCTGGACGAATCGGTATTTTCTGGGAATATTGTCGGCTTGACATTGTTGTGGTTGGGTGGCCGGCTCTTCTTCTCAGACACGTCACCATTCATACCTTGTGGTGTTTGTGGTGGCGTTGGATTCAAACACCTAGGTAGACATGACATGATGAAGTCAACTGTTCTCTCTCGGCCGATGACACCAAACCTAGAAAAATCAGAACCGGTTGTGTCCGGTTTTCTCACAAACTCGGGCCCGAATCTGTCTTCCTTTTGACTGTTTTTGACACTCAACAAGCGACAAATTTTGTCAAGGCTGATGGTAGCCTGTTCGTGGATGAATAGTGTACGACCGAAAGGTGAGGGTGAAGACGAGGTTCTCTGACGGTGCCCAGCTGCAGAGAAGCCTCTATCAGCTTTCAACGCCGCAGTCGAATGGTTCGTGTCTCGAAATGCCTCGTCTCAAAGCTCCAGTCGTTGGTGGTCCAGCTGTCTCACTCATCCTTAATGCTCTTGTCGTTTTCTTGACCGGCAGGACCATCCTGCCTTCTTTTCACGAAGAAAAATCTGCCCATCCTTCGAGTCTCAGCACCTTCCCCTGTGGCCCACGGATCCTCCACCTTGGACCACGCGATAGGGTCCTCTCTCCATGGCTGGCTATCAGGGGAAAAACTCGTGACTTGATACGTGTCCCTTCTCCGCCGAATGGTACCGTTCTTTCCTTTCTTTACTTCCAGAGCCAGGTATTCAGCCAGTTTCCCCCGTGTGATTGTTTGTTCCCGTCTATGCTCCGAGGTCTCATCGCGAATCGCCACAAGAGGTTGTACACCGGTGGTGTCCACCTTTTGGATCTCCTTGACAAAGTGCACTTGATCGCGGAGGTCACGCAGCATTGCGTTCTCTTCTGCTATGGACTTGGGCAACGGCAGCGCGGAGAGTTTGAGGAGGTGGTGTAGTTTGTCTCTTGTGATTTCTTCTTCTGCTTCGGCTTCATATGCTGGCGTAGATGGTTGCTGCGATTTCAAGTTGGAGCCGTCGCGTTCTTCACGTCGAGGTGGAGCGGGAGGCAACAACGAAGCCACAGACCAGGTCGGCGTCTCAAGGAGGGATTCTATCTCCGGGGAGAGGTCGATTTTCTTGACAAGGCGGAGTTCCTTCTCTCTTGACGGGCTGGTTATGGGACCGCAGAGAGCGGTACGGATGCTGAACGTCTGACGAGGCAGACGAGGCATGGTTTGCGTCTACTGTAGGACTGCCTCGCATCCCACTGGTCATGCTTGCTCCTGTAGACGTGAAGACGGCCGTCCAGATCGAGGTACAAATGTTTGATATTAAAGCGGCATGGTGACGTCGATCCCGATAGGCTTCCGCTCTGACTTTGGCGGGGCTCCCAAGGCTCCTGGTCTCCCCCAGGATGCTGTCTACAGTCTGCGGTCTGCGGTCTAGCACCATAATTCGGTCCATCAATCGAACGTCTAGAAAGACAGATATACGGTCAGTCCGGGCGGCCCTCCAACGTCAACCCTTGCTACGCTCCGTCTAGACAAGACATTCCGCCATCTAAGGGGATACAGATTGCTCCCTCCCACTTCCCATTCACCTAACCCACCTATTCCCCCTCTCGTCTCCGTTCAGCTACCTTTCACCATGGCTCAAGATCCTCGAGTACTGTTACAAAAAGCCGACAAGGCAGCCCAGGGCGCAACCGGCGGCTTCAGTCTCTTTGGCGGACGAGGCGAGAAATGGGAGAACGCCGCAGATCTATACACACAAGCCGCGAATGCCTTCCGGGTACAAAAGCAGAGTAAGCGCCCCTATCCTTGCCGCATTATATCCCACACAGTTGCCTCCCATGGACAATCCAGACATACAAGCAGGCAGATGCACTGACCATTCCGTCTCACGCAGACCTCGAAGCCGGTAAAGCTTTCGAGAAAGCGGCCTCGATCCAACAGTCGAAACTCAACGAACCCGACGACATGGCCAACACGCTTACCGAAGCGTTCAAAGTGTACAGAAAGGAGTCGCCTCAAGACGCGGCCCGCGTGCTCGCGACGGCAATCCAGCACTACACCTCGAAGGGCAACTTCCGGCGGGCGGCCACGCACCAGCAGAACCTGGCCGAAGTGTACGAGATGGAGATCGGCGACCAGAAGAAAGCACTCGAAGCCTACGACACGGCGGCGCAGTGGTACGAGTCGGACAACGCCGAGGCGCTCGCCAACAAACTGTACCTCAAGGTGGCCGACCTGGCGGCCCTGGAAGGCGACTACCAGAACGCGATCCAGAAACTCGAGACGGTGGCCAAGTCGAGCTTGAACAACAACCTCATGCGCTGGTCCGTCAAGGACTACTTCCTCAAGGCGGGCATCTGCTACCTCGCGGCCGGCGACCAGGTGGCCACCAGGCGAGCACTGGAGCATTTCAGGGAACTGGACGGCAGCTTCGCCAGCACGAGGGAGAACATGCTGCTGACGGACCTGGTAGGCTGCGTGGAAGAAGGCGACCAGGAGGCCTTTACCGATAAACTGCTCCAGTTCGACCAGTTGAGCAAGCTGGATAAGTGGAAGACGACGTTGTTCCTGCGGGTCAAGAACGCGATCGAGAAGGAAGAGGAGGATTTCTCGTAAAGCTCCGCAATGAACGGACACGATCAGCCGTCGGCTTTGCACGTCGTCGTGAAGCCAAGCTCGAGTTTGCGTGGTGCTCACTCACCGCATGCGTGTGTCATCGTGGGGCACGTTGAAGCATTGATCACACCGCTTCGCGGCAACACCAACTTGGTACACGTATATACCGTTACTAGGTACCGTATATGGTATTTCATACGCGTGGAGCGATACAAAGCAAATACCGACACAAACCCTCGAGGATGGGAATGACGGCGTGATTGGTGGCGGCGTTTCGCATGACTCTTGTGGAAGACAATGGGACCTGAGAGCTGAGACCTGAGGACCGGAGGACCTGAAATCTCAGGCAGGTTCATACCTTGTAGCGTCGTTAGTCACAGAAGACCATCTCGTACCGTTCCTCTAGAGCAGCTACCTGTCGCGGTACAGTAGTGAATGTGAGATTTCCCGCAACATCAGCGCCAGCCAAGGCTTTATTTCTTTATACGTGCTTTTCACGGGACGGACGTGCCCCTTTCTTCAGCGACTACTGACCGAATGCCGCTACTTGTAATCAATTCGACCTCGAGCGACGTCGAGTGACGGAAGCCCCGGCCATGCAATAAATCTACCTCTCCCAATGCAGTCGTATCGTGACATGCAGGCTTTACTTCTGCTTTTCAGGGCAAGTGCCGGCCCAGCCCAGCCCAGCCCGGTTGTGTTCTCGGTATATCGTTCTATAGCGAAACCAATCCGTCGAACCGAATGCCAAAGGAGGTATAATGCGCAGGTGGGCACGGACATGGACTTCTTTTGCATGGCCCCCTTCTGTCCATGCTCTTCGTGTACTGTATATCGTGACGTCGCAAGTCTCGCGGCTCTACGCCGTCGCGCCTGACTAACACCACGTGAAGAAAGGCTTCTTGCTTTTCACCGTCTCCAATCGCTCGACAATCACCTTTCTCTTGTGCGTATTGTCCAGATCACTCGCCGCCGCGTATCCCAAGTCGCCCTCGTCGAAATCATCGCCCTCATACACCATGGTGGGGGCTGACTTGTGGTGTTTGGCACCAAACGCGCTTCTCGTGGACATGGATCTCTGCCTACGAGATCGATCCTTGTGTGATGGCGAGGCGTTACTGTTAGAGGCCTGGCGAGGGAACTCGAAGCTGAAGCGCGCTTTGTGCCTCGGCCGGGCCGGGAGGGTGGCGGACTGTTGGTGGCCCAGACTGCCGTGAGCTTCACGCGCGTAGTCGAGGGAGTCGAACGCGGGCGCCGTGCTGCTCAGTCCGTCTAGGTCGGAGGACGCATGGCCGAGGTCTGCGGCACTGTCCTCACGCGTGAGGTCAAAGCGATGTGGATTGGGTAGTTCGGTGGTTGGAGAGCCGAGAAGGTCGAATTGTGGTTGTCGAGGCGGAGCAGACCCGTAACTGGCACCGATGTCCATTTCTTCTTGTTGCGGGCGGTCGTGGCGGGCTTTGTGGCGGCTCATCTCGGCGGACGGGACACGCATCGGTATCGCCACGGGGACGTCCACGAGATCGTCCCACACGCATACCCTCGTACGGCGAGTCAGCTCGAGAGGACCGTGGTCCTCTTGCTTCAGGGTTTCAACGACGTTCCAAGCCTGGCCTTTCATCACGGCTATCTGCCGCGCGAACATGCTCTCTTTGAAGTCCGAGTCGAGCGCGAACACTCGTCGTAGAGCCATTTGAGTCTCACTCCACCACGCTGTGGACGTCAACAGAGGGAGGAAATGTTCTCGTGTTTTCTTTGAAAACGGCTGACCGATTAAGGACACCGGCAAGAACAACCAGCCAAAAGGAAAGCTGCGCCACTACATCGTGAGTTAGCATTGGTTAAGAAGCGAGCAGCTTGATACATACAGCATCAGGATGCTTCCAGGGCCACGACAAACTGTTGTCGATGGCCCCGAGCGTGATCGAGCATTGCGGCTCATGTGCATTTGAAGGCGTCCCTGACCGGCTCTCCATGGCCTCGTACCTCTTGTAGGGCCTCGAAGTATTGGACTCGGGTCGTTGCGGGTTGATATGCGGACTGACTGACTGTGGGCGTAAAGGGGCATCTCCATTCTCGGTCGTATGATTCGCTTTCGGGGGCTCTGCGACGATGGACACCTCTTCCGTCTTCCAATCGATCTTGATCATCCAGTTGTCCAATCCTCTATCCGTGTTCCGCATGATGTAATCTAAGATGACAAGCTTCTCCAGCTCTTCTCGGAACGCTTGTCTGAGGACGGGCGTCCAGCGAAATTTGGGCGTGTTTTCCAATGGCGGCGGTGAGACTACCCGAGGTGCCTCTTCCTCTTCTTCGTCGTCTGAACCTCGACCACCTGGAATGCAATTGCGCAAATGGCGCCTTTTCCGCTTCGACTCCACATCTGCTCGAAACTCGGTTCCTTGATCAGGCCAGGGGTTCTCTCGGAGGAAGATGTTGGCATCTTTGAAACCCTTCAGGAAAACCTGAAAGCTACCCGGTTTAGCCGGCAGGCCTCTCTTTCCACTCCACGTGCTGCGCCTTTCCCAGAAGTCGTAGTAGAAAACCTTCGAGGATAACCAGACGACATCCGTGTAAGGTACGATATATGTCCGCAATTGGTTGTCCAGAACATATGCAGCGGCTTCGGAGACGTAGGATAAGTTGGGAATCAGACATGCTCGGCCGAAGGCGAAGGGGAGCAGATTCCGGTGTAGCCATTTCGTCCACTTGGGATTTCTCGAAGCGTAGGGTTCTTCGTCCTTGGGCTTGAACACTCCGACGACCTTGCCCTCGCTATTCCGCGCAAAGTAACTGCCCGAGCTCCCTTGTGAGATCATCTTCGGGTGTGTTCCCAGTTCAATTGCGACCCGGACGCTCTCGACAATGTCGTCAAACTGCGTCTTCGTCATTCGGTCCGTCTCTGCGGCATTGTAGGCGGCCAGCTGCGAAGCCGTGTATGGACGGATGTCTGGGGGAGCTTGGAAGACGGAATGGTGAATCTCCAGCTGCTCTTCCTCCTGTGTCTTGCCCTTGACCGAGCTGATCTTGAACTTGGATGCGATCTCTTCTGCCCATCTCTCGAGTCTGGCATTTATTGCCTTGATATCCACCCCCGATGAATTACTTCGAACCCTGCGCATCGGTCGCTTGCGGGAGTCGTGATGGCGCATCGACTCGCGCGGCGCAGGTTGAATGGAGGCATACCGTGTCAGCAGTGGTGATGGATTGTTGATTTCTTCCTCATCTCCCGAGTTCTCATCTCCCAGGGGCTCGTCTTCATCTGCCTGGGCCAGGCGGGCGTAGCCTGAAGTCCCTCGGTGTCGAGGCATGACGCGGATGACGGGGACGTAGAAGGGTGAAAGGGAGGAGAGGATTTACAATCGTCGAATTGGCTTCACATGCTGGCACATTTGCTGCTATGAGACTGTGCGTCTAGAATGAACAGGCAGATGTAAACTGCTCAGGGCAACCACGTGGAATCATACACAGAATGACGGAGTCTCTTAGTTGAGATTCAAGCCAGGTTCTTGGAAACTTTGTCTGCAAGGCTTCGGGCAGCGCCTCGGGCGACCGCGAACCGAGAGTCGCGCACTATTGCAGCACAGGTTCATTATTGGTCTGAAATGAGAGGTTCTATGCACGCGAGACTCAGATCAGTCGAGAGCAACGTCAGCACCAATGCGTCGGTCTGATCATATCGCCGGTGGTTGTGAAGACTGTCCTGCCGATAGGTGCAGTCAGGCAGCTCTCAAACAATTAAGCAAAAGGAGCACGTTCCAGGATGCAGCCACCCCCATCCTGAGGTTCTTGTAGAGGGTTCTGCGAGTATCCATCAATGACCCGCCAGGACTGGCGATGGAGCTTTTCAGTCTCGACCGACATGACTGGCGAAACACGAGCCTGCCGGTAGCAGAAAAGGCTGGCGAGATATCTTGCTGACATTTTCCTCCCTTGCGTGTCTCGGCGAGCTACATGCTACATACGTGCTGTCTCGGTTCTGTGGGGGTGATAGGTATGACATGCTTGGAGTGAACATTGAATATAAAAGTCCAGATTCGCAGGCCATAGTGCTAGAGGTCTGAAGGGCCCAGAGCACGGCGCAGAAGGTTACCAATTAATTAACCGCAGGACTGAAACAGCCACGTCTATAACAGCCACAAGCACCCCTAGGAGGATTCCCCTAGGGTTGGCGAGTCATCAGCCACAGTCATGCCTGGCATGGCGCCTTGATCGTCACTATTATCCAACGTCCATCGACTTGCGCAAGACTGGCGCCGTCAAATCTCGGACAGCGGGCCGTGATCGACCATCCACGCATGACCTCGTCGGCGCCCACGGTGCGTATTTCCGCTTAGGAGAGAACCACAATAGGAGGCTGTCGATTGACATGGCGAGTCGCAAGGCCACAGGGCACTCGAGGCGCTTGCAGCGCGGTTCCGTTTCGAGCTTCGCGAGCATTGGACGCCAACGTCACTTCATCTAAGAGTACTCCGTACACCATGGACTCTGGACGATACCGGTGCGATTGCCCGTTCCAAGGAGATAATTCAAGCGGCTATTGCCGCTTCAAGCAAAGTCACGTCGTTTGACTGTGCCACAGGCGCGATACAAAAGGGGCACGTCGGAAGCCGGCGTACTCCACCGCGAGATTGGACAATCTCTTTCATCTTCCCCAGGTTTGCTAACGTGCCAAATCAGGGCCACCTCGCCATTCTTCGTCGCACAGGGACAACATGCGGGTCAATTCAAAATTCATTCCAGAGCTTCGGTCAATAGTGACTGAGACCGCATCATTGGAAGCCACGCGGGAACAATCGAGCACGGAAATGATCGTCTTGCATCGTCGAGCAGAGTGGCATTCTACCAGGGTGCGAGGTTGATCTCACCCATTGTATCCATCTTCAAGACATGGGCGCAATTAGACGTGCTCTTAGCCTCATCGGCGGGACCAGCATCTTCCTCGCCGGCTAGGATCCCTCGCCTTGTGATCCCCCTGAATCTAGCATGGTATTGGGCAGTCCAAAACCCGCGAGGCTCCCGTATCGATAGAGGTTCACGGTCTCGTCGATAACAATCCCTCTCCTTATCGAGGTCACTCTTGTCGTTATATCATCGTGGCTCAGTTGAGTGCCTGCGGCATTCAAGAAGATCGTTGAGCATCACACCGGCGTCCTCCTACCAATCCCCACCCGCAGAGACCACGGTTTGGTCTCACCTCATTGAACACGGCGTCCGCAGTTGCACCACCGCTCTTTCGGGCCACCCTCGACCCTACATACCGGCCGCCGTCGACGCCGCTGAGCGACTCGCGATTGGAAGGATACAGGACAGACTATCAACGAAGCAGCTCGCCTCTGCCGCCGTCGGCCGTGTATGGGAGGGATATCTCCCGTCCGGCGTCCACGAATCTCCCGTACACGGGTGGTCAATTCGTCAACCAACCACAGTACCACGCCAGGAGCGCGAGCGTCAACCTCAGCCGGGAGTACAATTCCGAACCGCGACTGTCATTACCAGGTCTGTCGGCTTTAACAGCTCTGGCAGCTGCCGCCACGCCGGCACCGCCTGTGAGGTACGCACACCGTGAAAGAGCGAGGAACCGCGGATGAGGGCGTCACGAAAGCTGACCGGACGGCAGATCGTTCTCCAGTAGCAGCTATGGATCACAACTGAGTTACACGGGCGCGATGCCAGCGGTGCCAACACCTGGCATTGCGGGAAACGCTCCAGTAAGTCATTACAGCGCCTCTGGTTCTGCCAAGCCACCGCGGTCCCCCAATCACGTGATCCTGCCTCCACCTCCGCGCGCTTCGCCTCGTCATTTCTGTCTGAAGTCTTATCGTTATCGCAATGCTCCCGCATCTTCTTTTCACCGAAGGCTGGCAATGGCCTCGATTGCAATAGCAAGCGCTGACCCGACCGCACCCTTACAACAGCCTGTGTGCCAGAACTGCCAGACCTCTACGACACCGCTATGGCGGCGAGACGAGTCGGGTTCGGTGCTCTGCAACGCCTGCGGCCTGTTCCTCAAGCTGCATGGCCGCCCGCGACCCATCAGTCTCAAGACCGACGTGATCAAGAGTCGCAACCGCGTCAAGACTGCCACGCAAGGTCCCAAGAAGAAGGTGAGAACGTCGCGACCCGGTTTGAAGAGAGCTGCTCAGCTGACGCGAATCGCAGTTCGAGCAGAATGGAGGACAGGCCTCCGTCACCGACAACATGAACCCACATCGGCGAGTATCGCAGATGGCCGCTTCGGTCGCTTCTGACCGGTCGCAATCACCTATTTCGCGAACTGGTACTCCGGGCGCCCAGCACGATCCGAATATCGCCCCTCAACACCTCTTTGACGGGGTCACCGCTCTCGCTGATGCCCACTACAGCAATGGCATTCCCACCGACCCCGCCCTTCAACTCAGCCAACCTCCTCCCGCAGTTGCCGCCTTGAGCAACGGTCAACACGGCGCCGCTCCCATGACTTACGATGACCTCGTCGGGCTCACCAACAGCCTTCGAACGCGAGTCTCCGAATTAGAAGTCATCAACATGGTCTACCACGACAACGAGTCGAACCTGTGCCGCGAACGGGACCGAGCCCTGCAAGAACGAGACGAATACAAGCGCAAAGCCGAGGAGCTGGAAAGACAATTGCTGGAGGGCCAGGCTAATGACGAACACGTTGCGAAGAGACCACGACTTTCACCAGATGCCCAGGCCTCATGAGACTCGGAGCCGCGCTCTGCCACGATTGCTTCTGCTGTCATCAGTGATACCCAAATGCACGAATTTTTTTGGGATTCTTGACGTGGTGAATATCGGTTCGGCGTCGTAATTAATAGATGGTGGGCACCGGACTGGCCATCGTGGCGTTATACAAGGGAGTCGTGCATGGGGGGATTATGACCACTACTAGACGTGAGCTTCAGCGTCAGCATGAGCAGCATCCACTGGCACAAGATACGACCAGCATGGATGCGAAGAGATCCAAAAAGTATTGAGTGAATAATTGGGAGGCATTGTCGATATCTTACGAGCTAGTTAATGTGTTGCAAATCGAATCGAAATGGTTGGCCGATAACGACAGTCCGTGTCGGCTTGTTTTCGCCCTGTCGTCGCTGCAATTCTACCGCTTCCACCTGCGTTGCCGCTCGCTCCCTAGGGTAGAGACTGTTTGCCTACGTCCTCTGCACCCGTCTAGCCTGATACCACTACGGGGTTTTCAAGTATTCAAGCTGGACGGTCCCTGTCTTCAGCGCCCCGTACCCCACCGCTGCCCGCCCCCCCCCCCCCCCCCCCCCCCCCCAAGCCAGTCGGCTATTCGCGGTCGCGATGTGAACCCCGACTCCATCAGCCTTGCCCGAGGTCTATCTCGAATCTCACACCAACCTGTAGCAGCTGTTCTTCGCTTTCCCAATGCCCAATCCAGGCGCCCTGGCTCGGAGTGTCGCCACGTCTCCGGACTGACTCTGCGCTTCTGTGCCACGCGAAGACAAGCTGACGCTTATATTAACGACAATTCGACATCAAATGCAAGCAGTTCCTCAATGCTCGACTCCCGGCTGAATTACAGTACCATCAACAAAAGTCAACAAGTCCTGCTATGGCTTCCTCTGTCCCAGTCTCTCCTTTACGTCTCCCCTCGTCATTCAACTTCGCAACAGATGTGGTGGAATACTGGGCGAAAAAGGATCCCTCGCACGTCGCCCTCTACTGGACCGATCAATCATTGTCCACGACCAAGCAACTGACCTACAGCCACTTCGCGCGCCAGTCGCAGCGCATAGCATCACTCTTCACCTCACTGGGCATCAAGCAGGGCGACACCGCCATCGTCATCTCCCCGCGGATCCCCGAATGGTGGGAGATCGGCACAGCATGTCTGCGCGCCGGCGTGGTCATGTGTCCATGCACAACGCTGCTCGTGGACAAAGACATCGAATACCGGCTGCAAGTCTCGCACGCCACCACCTTCATCGGCGATTCCACCTCCGTGGCCAAATGCTTGCAGGTCCGCTCAAGATGCCCCAACCTGCGCACCATCATCCAGCTCGACGGCACTGTATCATCACCAGCAGCAGCAGAAGCGGGGGTAGTAGACTTCCACGCGGCGCTGGACAAGATCCCCTCGGACGCGACATTCGCCGTGCCCAGCTCCCTGGGCCCTAAATCGCCGGGCATGATCTTCTTCACGTCCGGCACGACGGGGCCCCCCAAAATGGTACTGCACACGCAGACGTCATACCCACTCGCGCACGCCCTGACGGGGATGCACTGGCTGGACCTCTCGCCCGGCAAGATCTACTGGAACCTGTCGGAGCAAGGATGGGCCAAGGCCGCGTGGGCGTGGCTGTCGACGTGGAACTGCGGCGCCACGCTGTTCGTGCACGACGACCGGCTGGCGTTCCACCCGCGCCGCACGCTCCAGGTGCTGAACCGGTTCCCCATCACGACGCTGTGCGCGCCCCCGACCGTCTACAGACAGCTGGTCCTGGATGAGAACCGGCGGTTCTTCGCCACAGCCGAGGGCAGACCGAGGACGCTGACACACTGCTGCGGCGCGGGGGAACCGTTGAACGAGAGCGTGGTGCGCACGTGGAAGGAGATGACGCACGGGATCGAGATCTTTGACGCCTACGGCCAGACCGAGACCATCGTCGTGTGCGCCAACCAAAAGGTCAACAAGGTCAAGCCGGGCAGCATGGGCAAGCCCGTGCCGGGGGTGCCGCTCGTGGTGGTCGACTCGGATGGCAACATCACGCAGCCGGGTGTCGAGGGAGACATTGCCATTACTATTGAAGGGTCGGGGTCGGGTAACGACGATGGGCAGCACTCCTTCTTCGGCTTCTTCGAAGGATATATCGACAAATCGACGGGAAAGGTGGACAACAAGATCAAGACCCTCGCAAATGGGAAGAAGTTCTTCCTGACTGGGGATAGGGCCGCGCGGGACCAGGACGGATATTTCTGGTTCGTTGGTCGGGCCGACGATGTGATTAACTCAGCGGGCTACAGGATAGGTGAGTGGAAGCGAAGCAAGCAAAGCAAAGCAGAGCAGAGCAGAGTGAAGCCTAGCAGCCTCAAGCACCGCAAAGCCAAATCCCAAAACCCCCAAAACAGAAAACCCCAAAACTAATGCGAATGCTAATACTAATGCCAACTAATCGCCGCCGTCGTCCAGGTCCCTTCGAAGTCGAATCCACACTCAAATTACACCCCTCGGTCGTCGAATCCGCGGTCGTCGGCTCTCCAGACCCGACCCGCGACGAAGTCGTCAAGGCGTTCGTCGTGCTGACGGACAGCGCGGCGTCGCGCATCACCAAGGCAGAGACCGACGCTGACGCAGCCGCTGCCGCCCTGACGCGCGAACTCCAGGACTTCTGCAAGCGCAACGCCGCGCCGTACAAGTACCCGAGACGGATCGAGTTCGTGGACGCCGCGTTCCTGCCCAAGACTATCAGCGGGAAGATCAAGCGGGCCGAGTTGAAGATGTTGGAGAGGAGGCGATATCAGGAGGGGGAGCGGGCGAGGGCGGGGGCGGGGGCGAGCGCGAAGTTGTAGGTACATAATGGCATGGTAGATAGGTAGCTAAGTAGCTAAGTAAGTATGGATACTGTGCTGTATGCTGTGTGCTTTATGTTGGATGCCGTGGCTATGGCTATGGCTATGTCTATGGCTAGAGTGCGGTACGTGTATGTGTACGCTACTTGTAGGTAACTCGCCGGTGGGATCAAGTTCGTTGACGACCGGAGTGAAGATCAGCGAGGTCACTCTTGGCCATATGTTGTCGAGGCCCAACCGATGCTATGACGATGACGATGACGATACATAACTTCCACTAATATCGTCCCACGCAAGATTTCATGAATCTCGTCGACGGAGACGCCATCTGGAAACGAACACGACGGGACAATTCCACAAGCATGCTCACGGCGCGGTCAAGAATGCGGTCTTTGCCCTCATAGACAGGATCGATCGTACCTGGAGAAATTGTTAGTGCCGACGTTGCTGAGAGCAGGGCCTTTGAGGTCGACCTCGTTCTGTTCGCCCCGGCTCGGTGGAAGCCTTGGGGCAATTCTTGTCAACTTCGAGGTCTGCCCTGCCAGGGTCGCCTTTGCAGAGGTGGTTTCCTTGATGGCCAGTCGTAGGTATGTCGTTGACGGTAGGCGACGTCGAGCAAGGAATGGTCACGAATTGGAGAAGTGAAGCCGTTCGGTTATATAGAGATCAGGGAACAGGTATGACTGCTCAAGCACCGAGACCAACTTCGTGAGACCTCCTGTTTCTGTAGTTCCAGAGTGTCTTGTCTCAAGGAAAGGGGAGAAATGAGGCTGCACAGTCGTTGAAGTCCTTGGGGGACTCTGAACGGTAAGTGTCTACCTGGTAGGCGTGCCAGACGGCACTGGTAGCGCTAGGCCGCACATGACAGCCTCGAAGACCGTTTGTAATGTAGGGACCGGCGAGTGAATCATGATAGGGAACCTTTTTGCCTTCTTGGGATGAGATTCGACTGCCATACAACATTGTGCATTCCGTACATCATCTGTACGTATGATTGACGAGGTGTCTTGAGAAAAATTACCCCTGCCGCGCCTGAGGCTCGGCCATAACCGTCCACCTTTGCCCGCGACTGAGAAGCGTACAATAGATAAACTCATCCCTAATCATCCGCTAGTCGCAATTGAAATTGGGTTCCGTCATCAGGACAAGAAGTATCTGCTAAATAGCGCGGCACAGGCATAACCCGCAACCAACCACCCCTGCCCGGGGTAGATAAGGGTTGCGGTACCTGAGCATCAAGTGCTGGCTGTTCGAGCAACCCGTCGTAGATTGACCCTTGACATAGCGGGGGAGAGTCTAAAGTGTACGTACCTCTTCCGCTGTTGCAGAAGTGTAGAAGGGGATAGCGGAGACTTATTGAGTAACCCGGCATCCTCTGTTACCCTTATCTCCACGAGGATCCCGCGGACAGGACTCAGCATGGAAAGTCCGAGATGACCCATTGTCAATGAAGAAGCCTTCATCAACGCTCTGCAGGTTCCACAGCCAGAGGACCATCGTCCATAAAGAAGGATTTATCGGAGCCCTGGGGTTCCACAGCCAGAAGACCCCATCATCAACGAAGAAACCTCGATCGTGTCTCTGGAGTCCTGTAAGATCCCCATAGTAAGTACTAAGTGGAACGTATCCAAGCACGAGCAGGAAATCAATCCCTTCTTGCGTCAATTGGACAGGCTGATTGTACCGCCGGGCACGGGCAGGTCTAACGGTCGTACACAGTAGCAGTCGTGAAATCAAAAATGGAATTGTGTCGCATATGAGAATATCCGCCACTATTTCATGACAGGAAGGGAAGGCCAATAATTACCGTGCCTGTCATCGACGTGGTCTCTCCGACTTGTGTCTTGCGACTTGCGACTTGTGTCTTGCGACTTGCGACTTGCGACTTGTGTCTTGCGACTTGCGTCTCGCGAGCGCTGAAATCATACTGACACATGGCCAAACGGACAACTGTCGGTCAGTACATAGGTTTTGCCTATTGCGAGGCACTCCCACCATGACTTCCAATGCGGGAATTCATGGTCATGGGTCAAGATACGGTACTGTACTCCGTACCTCGTTCGAGTAGGTTAGGACTTTCGGATTCGACGAGTCGAGTATCTGAGGTTGTGACGGAGGTGGTCGAAATGGGGGCGAGCCGCGCACTCGCCCGGAGCAGTGATTCCGTCACGCTGCTTTCAGGGGAAAGACGCGAGTGAGGGGCTCCACTAGCGTGTGAGCATAAGGCGGCGTCACTCTCATCCCTAATGGTGGAGAGCTGTTCTAAAGGTAGGTCACTCGAGGTCAGAGCATTCGAGGTCAGAGCATTCGAGGTCAGAGCATTCGAGGTCAGAGCATTCGAGGTCAAGGTAACAGCAAAACACCCACACCGACACAAATATAGGGTAAAGCGTAGTTTGTGTGCCAAATCATATTGTATCGGTCTATCCAATACTGGGTCTGATTCGTCGGTTTTGGACTGCTACCGCTCTCTGGGTCCAGGTCAAGCACTCATCCTTCCGTCATGGCTGCTCCGGATGCCTCGTCGTCCTCCTTCCCGGTGGAATCAATCCTCTTCCCGCTCAGCACATTCCTCCTCAGCATCTACACCCTCTCCACCGCCACCGATGTCTTCATCTCCAGCACAGCTCGCCTGGCTCGTCGCTTGCATGTGAGCGAGACACTCATCTCCCTGCTCACCGCGGGCGCCGAATGGGAAGAACTCGCCGTCGTGATCGCAGCCATTGCTCAAGGCCGACCGAAACTCGCTCTGGGGAATGTGTTGGGAAGTTGCGTGGCCAACATCCTCGGGGCTTTCTCGTTGGGCGTCTTAGCCCAGAGAGAAACGATTGTGAGGTATGATGTCAGTGCGAGACTTTATGCCGTCATTCTGTTCGGTCTCACCACCGGTGTTGCGGTTCTCTGGGGATTTGGCCGGCTTGAGGGACACGTCTATGGCGCGGCCTTGGTGGTTGTGTTTGTGTTATACATGGTGGGTATAGGTTGGTCGGTATATCGCGGCGTGTTGACGGCGCCTCAAGATTCTGATGCCGAGTCTGATGCCGAGTCTGATGGCAGCTCAACCTCGGAAGAGTCAGGGCAGACGGCTGTGTCTGGAGAGGAGGCTCAGCATGACGAGAACCAAGCAGACGAGACGACGCCGTTGTCATTGCGATGGAGGAAACCGCCGTCCATTCTGACTTACCTGGTCAAGCTGATTGTGGCCTTCATCGCCCTCTCGCTCAGTGGCTACGTTCTTTCGCATTCCTCCAAGTCACTCTCGACGGCGTGCCACCTTTCCGACACCGTTTTTGGTGCGACCCTGTTGTCTCTCGGCACGACCCTACCGGAGAAGTTCGTGGCCGTGATCAGCGGATATCGAGGCCACCCCGGTATCATGGTCGCCAACACGGTGGGCAGCAATATATTCTTGCTGACGCTGTGTCTGGGAGTGACCATTCTAAGCTCACAGGGGCTTGCCCAAGGGTCGAGTTATACCCAAGAAATTGTCTGGACGTGGACCACCTCGGCCTTCTTGATGGTGATGATCCTCGTTGGTACCCACAGATTGGTCGGGTTGGCCATGTTGCTTGCGTATGTCGGGTTTTTGGTCCTTGAATTCACGCTGTACAAGCCTTGACCAGGCGCTCAAGTCAGATCGGAATCCCCACGATCTCTTCGCCTTCTTTGCCATCGGGTACCAGATCGCCATAGACGGTGATCGGGATAACCACCTCGAACGTCTCGCACTCCAGGTTCTCCACAGCAACATTGACAGTGCTCCTCTCGTCGTTGACAACCTCCTCCAACAGGTCCGGCACGGGCTGGATACCGCCTTCTTCACTCTCGAACGGCTTGATGGTTCCAAATTCGAATCGGAGACTCCAGTCCAAGTTGACCCCGGAGGTCACGAACGTGGGGGTCGCCGAGGCCGGGATGCTGAATGCGAAGGTGGCTCGCTTCGAGAACAAAATGTTCTCCGACCGGGCGCCGTAGATCTTTCTCGTGATTCGGTTGATCGTGGCAACCGATCGGACGGCAAGCGCAGGGGTTACTTTCTCCGATGTCTCCAGGGTTGCTTTGAGCGAAGAACCGGCTATTTCACTCTCTGAGAAGTCAACCACGGCTGTGATTGTCTCTCCGAGCCGGTGTAATGGTCGGTCAATGACGATAACTGCAACTCTCTGGCCGGTGCGGGCAATCTCGAACCGGTTCGCGCTCGAATCGCCCTCAGAGAGGGAATTACTGTATACGATGGCACGGTCGACCGCCTGCAGAGTCTTTCCTCGGCTCCCCATGTCCTGGCTATTGGAGAATGCATCCATCGTCCCTGTGCTGGATTGTCGACGTCGGTTGCGATCCAAAAGCGTATCGACGAACGTGAGAAACTCGGCTGTAGCCCTTTCATCCCCTTGCGTGGTGAACGTAGTAATCTCTTCCTGGCCTTCAGCTGCTAGAATTGACTTCGTATGAGCGAGGTCACGAAGGATCACATGTGGCTGCATGAGATCGTGGCCGTAGATCTCTCCGTCGTGAGAGACACCGGGAAAGACACGGATGGGAACGTTGACTTGGCGAACCGTATGCACGTCGCGGCTTCCGGGAAGACCTTGTACTCCGATGGTCAAATTGTAGGAGATCTTGATGGCCTTTCCTCGATGGCTGGATGGTAGGCCGCGCGGTAAGGGATAGCTGTACGAATAGCTCTGCTCTTCGCCGGGTTCGAGATGCATGTCGACGAACAACAGTGATTGTGGAGTAGACAGGAGGGGAATAGCCCTGGCGTTGGTCACGGCGTTCATCTCCTTCACGCTGCTCATGTTGTCGCCACCGATCAAATTGTTAAGCGAGCCTCCGATGCTGTTGAGATTGAAACCTCCCAAGAACCCGCTGTTCGGCCGGGGCTTTTTGACGCCGACGACGCCACCTCCAGCCTGGCCACCAAGAAAGCCTTTCGTCTTCACCTCTTCGAAGTGTGACTGGTCGACCAGCGAGGCGTCTAATGTGAATGTCGCACTCAACTGAGCGTAGCCCATGAGCAAATTCACAGCTTGAGGCTTTTGCGACTGATGTATTGCCGGTCGTCGCGCTAAAGGCGCAGAGTAAGTCCATGGTGGTGGATGTTCCGAAATGATGGAGGGCTGCTCAGACATCAAGGTCTCTTGGGAGTGATTGCTGAGCGAGTAGAAGTCGGCGCTGCTCCGTTCGCTTGCAAGCTCTGGTCCTGGTCCGGAGACAGATGCCTGGGCGGCGTCGGTCTCGGCCGGACTCGAAATACGCAGCTCGTCTGGTTCTTGGGACGCTGGACGGCCTCTAGAGTGATCGGATGGTATTCGGGATCTGAATTGTGAGGATGTATCGCGACCCTCGCTAGCGACAGGCGATAGTGGACTTCTACGCCCGCTCCTGCGCGGCAGCTGCAGACTATTCCGCACATCTTTTCGCTCATATTGGCTTGCTTTTCGCTGCGGCGCTGCAGATGATGAGTTTGAGATAGCTTGGTTAGATTGCTACATGACTCACTATGCAGAATTTGGACTGTCGACGAGCGTGAATGACCGGGTCTTTTCTGTCTCTCCCAGCCCCCCACGGACAGGCTTCCTCCATCTTCGGCAACCGTTGGAGAGGCGACCGAGATGATCGATACCGACCTCTGGTGCTTATGTGCGGGTCTTTGCGATCTGGTGCTGCTTATACTGTCCCTGTTATTCACTAATGTGCTTGGTCGGTGATGGCCGGCTTGATCAGGAGAGTTTTCATTGTTGTTCGATCGCCCATACTGACCCAATCGCTGGCCGTTATTAGGTCTGTTGGCCTGCACGGCAAGCTGACTTATACTCTCGCGTCTACTTCGCCGCCGGCTCTGGAAAGAGGGCGGGAGAGGCTCCTCTGCCAAGTTTGCGACATTTCTGAAGGTGATGGTGCAGTGCAGTTGTTCGCCCGCAAAAACGGATTGGTCGTGGAAGCGGACAGCTACATGGATGTCCGAATGCATACCACGCCTGGAAGGCTAGACTATGAGAGACAGGTGGCTGCCTCGTGAGTTGGTAGAGGCAGAGAAGCCAGCAGAAGTTGTCGAAGCCGTGAAGAAAGGCCACTTCGAGGATCACGGAGGATTCACGACGGTAGAACTTCGGCACTGACGCCGTAGACTCGACAGACTCGAACACGGAGCAGTGATTCTTGGGCAGCGAGGTTGTGATATTTATGCCTATCTCTATCTATCTGAGTCGAGGGATTGTGTATGGTGTAGGAGCTTAGGATCACAAGCACGTCTGAGTAGTTTATCCGCTGGCCGCATAGCCACAAACAGCCTATATTCTTACAATGAAGTAATGCTACTGTACCCCAGGCAATGCACTGCAACTCGGTTCAAGCGATTACACTGACCTGGGCAGCGAGTTTTTCGGTTGTCCTTCCGAGGCCATTGTTGGCGTAGAAGTCCATTGGATAAGTACCGCCTTCCTTTTCCCATCCTTGCTGTGCACCTAGTACCACAAGAGCTTCGTATGGCGTTAGAAGCGGCCGTGGAAATGCATAACCCCAGTCAATGCTTAACCGCGGACAGGCTATCTGTACCCAGCAGTCCACATCCTCAAACATGGCCAGCTTTCCTGGGAAGATCTCGCTGAGAAGGAGGTTCACGTATGGGATGCCCTGTTGGTTGAGGTAATTCTCGAGCATGGTCAGAGTGTGAGGGTTTCCCTGGCGTCCCAACGCCCCCAGTATCAGACCCCACTTTCTTGCTCTCTTTGCGGTGTTGATTGCAGTGGACCGCATGTCCAGCATTTCGTCGTGCGAATATGTTTCTCTGGTCAGCTTGCGCGAGTACGGATCATATCGGTAGGCGGGAATGTCAGGATTCGCGATCATAGCAGCTTCGAGATGGAAGCGACCGTCTCCCAAATACAGTATGAGATCCACGTTTGCATCTGGAGTGATCTTGGGAGCAGTACAACCGAGCACCTCGCCCTTGCTCAGCGGCATAACTTGCGGTACCACAAGCTTCAAACCCTCGGCTTCGAGAGCAGGTCTGATCGTATGCAGCGTGGAGTTGAACTGAATGGTACCCACCATAGCAATCGTCTTCCCGGGAGGGATGTTCCTCGACAGCGTGGTCACCAGATGCTTGGTGTCTATCGAGATATCCACGAAGATGTACAGCGTCGCAATTTTGGTAGCTGACACCGGGATCAAGCAGCTGTGAGCATAGTGGACAAGCAAGTCACAGCCCAAAGCTCTTGCAGTATAGTCATCAATACAGCATGCGCCGTAGGTGACATCGCCCATGATCAAGGTCTCTGTGCCGGGACAGAATTGGGTCAGGATGTCTGATATTGTCGTAGCGAACATCAGCAAGCCTTCAGGGAATTGCAGAGCAACCCTCTTTGCCTGCAGGGTACGTATTCGGTGGATGGTCTTGGGAATCTCGAAGCTGTAATTCTGTGGTAGCAGTGCGATCGCGGCTTGAATATCGGGGTCATCGAGAATATCGGAGGGTACCTGGTTCAAGGCTCGAGGTGCCTTTCTCGTCGCTGTCAACTCGTCAGCAAATGACACTCAGCCCATAGATGGCCCAAGCAACCTACTCTTCTGGACGATGGCAGTGGTTTCCTCGACCGCTGAGTTGGCCTCTGCATCGTGCCTCTGTTTCGCCTGCGCCTCCGCCGTGCGCCTTCCCACAAATCGTCTTCTAGGTGTCCTGGTGCCGCTGACACTGTTCTCGTCTGGTGCAGTGGGGAATGCGCCAGGTATCGCCGGCTCATCCATGCCTCTGCCTGAAACCTGTAACCTAGATTACGCACAATGATCCAGTCGAGAAGACTTTGTCTCTGCCATCGAGCCATCGCAGAAATTGAGCGGCGGCCTCCAAAGCGGAATGCGGGGAACCGACTCTCCGACGCTTTGCCTAATTGGTAGTAATTGGTTGCCGCTCAATGCTGCGTCACTCCCCACCAGCATCGCATGTGAAGATCTGGCTCCTTCTTTCTTTGCTCGTTACCTACAGTATTCACGCAGAGACTGTATCTCGTCAGTCCACAAACAGCTATTCAACTACCGTGCACACAATATACTTGCACTCTAAACTACGACCATGAGGCTTCCTCTACTTCCACAATAACACCTTGGACCCATCCACCCTGTCCAGTCAAGTCGAAGCGAATCGTCGACATGGTCACCACCTCGGGCTTCACGCACACGCCCGTCACCCGTGCCCTCATCCTCAGCTCGATCGTCCTGTCCATCCTCTCCTCCACCCTCTCGGCCCAGCACCTCCTACCCGTAAAACCGACCCCCCACCTGTGGCCGTACCTCCAATTCACACGCCTCCTGACATACCAAGCGGCGTACACGTCGAGCACCGAGCTCCTCTTCTCCACCGTGCTAATCTACCAGTTCCGCGTCCTCGAGCGGTTATGGGGCAGCAGGAAGTTCCTGAGTTTCTGCGCCGTCGTCTTCTGGGTCAACCTTCTAGTCACGCCCACGGTGGTTGTGTTCCTCAAGCTCGGCACCTTGGGCTGGTACAATTACCTCCCTGCGGGGTGCACGGGGGTTGTCTTCGCGCTGCTGGCCGCCTGGGTGGATGAAGTTCCCCGCATATACCGATACAAGATCGTCACGGGAGGTGCTGGCACTGCCGCTGCTGCTGGACAGGAAGCCCCGGGCGTGACTCTGAGTGACAAGTCAACGACATACCTCCTCGCGGCGCAGTTGGCGCTCAGTCAGTTTCCATACTCGCTCTTGCCTGCCGCGGTGGGGTGGGCGGTCGGCACGGCGTGGATGGGCGAGCTGCTTCCCGGCCGATTGGGGCGGTGGAGAGTCCCGGCATGGATGGTGGGCGAGAGCAGCGCGCGCAAGGAGAGGGGCCAGTATGAAGGGTTGAGGAGGAGGTTGGAGGAGGAGGGCAGCTCGGCGGACGGCATGAGGAATGTCACGGAAAGGGTCGCGGGCGGTCGGGAGGCACATGCAAGTAGGGGAAGGGGTTTTGGCAGCAGATTCGTGGGCTACTTTACCGGGTCGTAACGATGCATCTAATGAGGATTTGGAGTACCGCAAGCAACAGACAATGAATGGCATGGGGTGTGGAAGATGATTCTCTTATTTTCACGCACCAAGCAGCTGCGCTGTGTCTACATTGTTCCACGAGCTTTGTTTACCCTTATCCTTATCCTTTTCGCTCCCTATCCTCCTTCCCACCCAAATCTCAGTTCCACGCATCGAATACAGCACAGAAACGTCAGCCGTTGTGCCCTTCCCCAGCTGTGGCGTATACGGCGGCGCTGAACTCTGCGCCACACAAGTAGCATACACAAACTTTCTAAAGCAGAATACTCGTCCCAGATCCATCATACAGCCAATGCTGCCGAGCCTCTGGCTATTTAGCTGGGGAGACCAGTCCATCCTTCAATCTGCCGTCTTGCATCATAAAAGCTCAGCAGAGGAGTTTTGTCTGTCCTCCGTGCCTGGATTCTTCGTTTTCCGCCCCAACTGGCGCGGTATTTGTTCACCTTGTGAACTCTGTGTCGGGATCCTTCAGAAACTGAACGGAAATAAATCCCCCTCAATGACTGGCTGACGGACTGATTGCTGACCGACCAGATACCACACGTGTGTTTACTCAATAACATCCAAGGATAGCTATTCCGCCGCTCACCCCTCTCCCGCGTTCTTGGTCTGCTCCTCAAACGCCTGCTTGTACCGTTGGACCGCGACGCCCAAACTCTTCGTTGCGGGCCCGAGTAATTCCCTGACCACGTGGGCTCCACCACTCTTGATATCCTCGTTCTTGAGCGTCCGTTTGCGGCCCGTCCTTTCGTATCGTGTCTGTAATTCCTGCTGTTTCTTCTTGATTTCGAGCTGTCGTTCTTTCTCGGCATCTTCGGCGATGACGTTGATGCGGTCGAGCGCGCGGTTGAGCGACTCGACGAGGCTGGCTACTTCGTTGGCCCGCGCCGCGTCGCCGGAGAGGAAGGCGTTCCAGAACTGTCGAAGGAACTCTATCGTTGTGGCGTGGGTCAGCGTCAAGCGGTCGTAGATGGCTGGGCTGAGGTTGGAAGATTCAGGGACTGGGGCGGTTTGATTGCGATTCGCACGGATGAGGGAGAGGATGTGTTTTGTCGCGATTGATGAGCCAGAGTCTGCTTTTGCCGAGCTGTCATCGTCCATTTCTTCGTTGTCGTCTTGTTCCTCTTCGTCTTCGAATTCGGCGATCGGGATGGCGCCCACTCCGGGTTGGGCGAAATGAGTCGAGATGTCGCTGTAGACATCTTTGACGGCTTTAGCGGCGTCGAGATTCCGAAATGGATTGGCGGCGTCGCTGCCGCCTTGTTGACCGGACTGGTTGTCGGAGAAGAAGCGGCTTTGATCGCGAATGTTGAGGATGACGCGGTTCTGCTCCGGGGCGCCTTCGAGATCGCGCAGCTTGAGCTGCTCGTATGTGGTCTCGACCATGCCAATTGGAGCGGACGCATCGACGTCGGATGGCTTCACTGCCGCCATGAGCTTCTCGCTGATGGCGTTGAGTTTGCGGATCACGGGTGCTTTGTCCAGGTTGGAGGGCCGGAGGTCGAATTCAGGACGGTTGCCATAGCCGTAGTGGTTCTCCTCGTTGCCCTCGAGGTCTATAAATTTTGGGATATGCAGCTCGGCAGCAGTGGCCCGAAGACCTGTCACCAGCGGATGGTTGAGATATCTTTCAACATCGATGTGTTCGTCTTTCGCGTCCCTTGTGGGGTCTATTTTTAGACCGCGGAGCTTCAGGTGCAACTGGCTCTGGAAGAATTTGGACCAGAAGTCCGCCTCGCTGGGGACTTTGCGGGGCACCAAGTCATCGTAGACGATTCGCATGATAGGGTATTGCTCGAAGATGGCGCGGATCTGGTCTTGTCTGAGACTCAGCTTGGACTCGCCTTTGTTGATGCCGGCAAGGACATTGAAAGTGCCCTTCTCCTGTGTCTTGGAAATCGCCTGGGCTCGAAGTAGATGTACCCGAGACGACCAGAACTGATGTGTAAATTGCTCTTTGGAGAGCGAGTCTGGCTTCAGACTGAGTGCCTCCTTGTAGGTCCGCGCCAGTTCTGGATTGGCCTGCAGCAGAGACTGCTGGAGTCGGTTGTCCGACTTCAGGAGCTCATCATCTTCCCAGAGGTTACCCGATCGGCCACCACCTGAGATCGCGTTCGCTATTGTCATGGCAGCGGATTGACCGCCTGATGAAGGCGTTGCAGCATTTTGAGCCGCCTTTTGAGCCTGAATAACATTCGCTAAAGCATCCTTGATGCCGTTGGCCTCACCTCGAGGGTCTTTTGGGGAGGTAAATGTGAACACATGAGCGGTGGCTTCAGATTGTCCCGGATTTTGCGCAAAGATCTTCAGCATAACCTTGGGGTTCGTCTCTGGAGTCTGCTGCAGGTTGGTGATGTTTGCTGCGGATAGCACCAGAGCTGGAGTCGCATCGGGAGGTTGAGCAGGCGTCCATGACACGGATTTTCTATCCTTTGATATCGCTAACGTTCCCGACTGCTTTTTGTATGTTGCCTGCCCTTGTGGAGGTGCCATGATGATTTCCCCAAAGTCTCGCTGGGAGTAGCAGAAGAGTCTTCAATCCGTCCTTCCGACGGTATCGTGAAGAACGCAGAGTAACAAAATGAATGTTGCATCGCGTTTGTGGCCGTTACAGCCTGCGAGGTGAGATTTGTTCAAACCCAAGCTGCCGACAAGTTTGGCCTACCAAAGGGGTGTCAGGGCTTCATTCACTCATGCCTGGGTCACGATCCTACATATAGGAGATGGTGGCGAAGTGGAATTTTATTTCTGAACAAGGTGAATGAACGTTGATTGAAGTCGAATAAGAGCACTAAGAATCACATGCCTGACCGTGAAATGATAGATTCCAGGCACCGAGCTACGGTGGAGCACTGCCGTGACAGATGTACCTCCATCACTTCATCCATTCTTCACACAAAATGCCATCACCAGCTAACCCAGATGTTGCTCAGGATTTACCACAGAGAGCAAGCTGAAGCATCCTATCAAACTATCTTATAATCGTATCGCTTATGTCACAGGGCAGCTTCGAGAAAGCGACTGGTAATGGGGACCCAAACAAGCCCGGAAATAACCAAGCAGAGACTGGCGGAGAGATGATGGCTATATATGCGAGGTAACCTCACTCCTAAGGTACCCAACCACGGCAAGGCCTTCACGAAGACTTCACACATGGCCGGGAAGTGCCCAAGTCGACTTACAGATCATCTCTTCAGAGCGGTGGACTTAATCCAGTGCACCAGAATCTGTCTGGGATCACTTCTCCCGCCTCTGCTGCTGAAATATTGACCTGCCCTGAGGCCGCATCGTCACACGAACAGCTCGACCCCAGTGCTCCAGGACTAGGCTCCTTTCAATATCTTCCCGCGGCGAATGGATCGCACCATTTCCGCCTCCGCAGATTTGGAGCAGCCACACCGTCACTAGGATTCGGTTCACAGGTCGGTACGAAAAGGGTTAAGTAACCGGGACAGTTGCGGTCCATCCCAGATCGCATGGCTTTCGCCAGCCTCGAGAGTGGCTCTGCAATGCCTTGAAGCATGGCCGCCAAAGTACATATGTCGAGGACCGCTTATATTGGCTGGAGACTTTAAACGGGTTGGAGATATGATCTCCATCGAAGCGCGTGTAGATATGGGCTCTGAGTGTATGCATCTTGTTGGTGGCATCTTTTGGTATCAGAACAATCCTAGACACTTGCTTCCATGGTTATGACCTTTCGGGTCTCAGTACAGCTGTTGTGGTACATATAATGATGTCCAGCTTCGGTTGGCATCTCCTTGAAGCCTCCGATCCGTGTCAGAGTAAATCTGCAATCCATGTACGGTCCTTGCGTGGGGTGACCATATATGCGTTGCATGCACGTGGTATAAATACACAGCGGAGCGAGATCATGCTCAGACCCCAAGTTGAGTGCATCCGGGCTGGACACAAGGGGTATCTCGATCCTCGAAGGTAAAGGGGGCGGCTTCGCTTCATGATGTTGATCTTTTCTGGTCATGAAGGCTTCCCCACAGAAACCGGCTCAGTCAATATTCTCTCAAGCGCGACATCCGCGTTCCCAGTCTTCTGTAGTAGAGAGAGCAGAAATTCCCTCTTTTCTTCGGGCGTCCGCTTGGGTAGTCCTTCTTTCACCCGACTCCTTCCTTCCGCGGACATCATTTTATCATACTCTTTTTTGTCCTGGAACATGCCCGTCCCGATCAATTCCTGCCTTAGCCGGATTTTCATGTCTGATTTTATGGCCTGCTTCTCGGCGGGTGTGACGTGTTCGCCGCGCTCCTTTTTCAGTTCGCGGATTTTAGCCGTTGTGGCTGCATTGATGAGGGCTTTGCGTTCTTCGCGAGTCATGTCGAGCCATTCTTTTGCGCTTGGGGGGTTGGAGACCACTGTCGCGGACCGTTGAGCGGAGCCAAGACGCCTACTCGTCGTGTGCATTTGGCGAATTTGCTGCTGCTGGAGGGGGCTTCGACCAGCTTCCGCACTCTGCATGTATGTTTGTTGCTGGGCGGATTCTTGGTTTTGTGCGGCACCCTCCTCATAACTTTGTTCAATTGCAGCGGTCTGGTTTTCTTGGTAGTCAACCACACTGTCGTACTGGGCCGGGTTGAGTTTCTTCCACGCCTTCAGAAACTCGAGCCCGTCGACTCGGGGAGGTGTGTAGAGCGCGCCCCCAGGGCCTTCTTCGACTCGAGGCGTTTGTTCCATTTCTTGTGTTACGAAGGGTGAAAGCTGGACGCATCCGGTAGGGTCAGTCGATGGGATTCCAAAACAGGGGTGATATGTCTTCGTTAGAACTTACCGAAAAGTCCTTCGTGTCAGGCACATTGAAGTGTGTGGTTTTCCGCCAGTCGATCATGTACTTCCCGTACTCTGTGTGGGCACCCATCGAGCCGGTCCGGTTTCCTCGATAGAACCCCCGGCCGACTTGTTTCGTGGTGAAGCGGAGACGGCCGCATAGCGCCAATGTAGGCTTCACCATACTGACACAAAAGATCTGCGGGAGGTCGCTGGCTGCGTATGGCGAGGGACACTCGGAAGCGCGAGACTGATGGTGCAAGATGAAGGTAGCATGAAATCTAGAACCCGTCCAAATTGGGGTCAAAACCCGTGCCGCCTTTAGAGGCAGATTTGAGCTCCGCACATCTTGGACTCCTATTGGTTCGTAAGTTCTGTAGCTTGGTCAATCTTCGCCCTTCTCACACTCAAATTCTCTTGCATTACATTCTGACATGGGCATGGTCTATTCTCGAATCCAGGGCTCTGATATTCTTCCTCGATGCCTGTTGCTGGGGCCCAATTTTGAAAACAGACTGCCATGTTCAAGAAGCACGACACCGCATGTGACGAAAACTCGGTCTCTGAGCCGCACTCAAGGACAGAGATGTCTGCTACTGCAATATGTGGGAGCTTCGACGTAGGCGAGCGTCAAAGATACTTTTGCACTTTCCGGAACTACCTGTTGGGCTTCTGCCATCTAACATTAATCCCGGCGGTGACGAAGCAAAGATGATGATAAGCTTGGCTCAGCCATGCACAGGTGAGAAGGGCGTCCTGGTCCACTCCGTCATTGAGTTAATAGAGCATCGTCCCATGGATACCGCTTGAGGTGTGCAACGCCCGCTTCTGGCGGATGCTAGAGGATCAGGAAATGAGCATAGGAAGACTGCTCTCCGCATCGATTTCGTCCGTCACTATCCCGGAGGTGTCAAGTGCTCTCGCAATGGCGAACAATGTCTCGTCACGCTTGACTCGAGTACAATTGACGACTGGATGAGCTGGGGAGCCGCACGTCTGTCCTATCAAGCCGACGATACCTTACCTCGACATTGCAACAAAGATGGCCCTACAACGTTAACCCCTAGGAGAAGATTTAGTGTGTCGCGTAACCGCTACCGCGATAGTTCGGAGGACAACAAAGCAGCAAAAAGAGGCGGATCAATCAGCGGAAAACTTTACTATGAACACCTGGAGAATGTTGAGAAGTGAATACGGAGAACCAGATCTTGGCTCCTTGCTGTTGCGCTGTAGACTTCAGCGTGGGCTGGATCGTGCCACTGACTCATCGCAGGCGAGCGACGTTAAGCCTGAGCTGATAGGCCAAAGTCAGGATATGCAGGGCTAACTTGTATAGCCAGACCTGGACATCCAAGCGCGGTTCACCACTCATTAGTAAGAGACGCGGATACGAACGGGCTGCAGCTTTAGCCAAAGCTTGTAAGTCTGCGGCACTGTTGACGGTCGTGTGTTAGCCATGGATAATATTTATATCTTTGGGATATCTCGTGATGTGGTATTTGCGGATGTCAACCCCAGTTCGCGCCTCATCCATTTCCGAGACTTGCTGTGCTCGGCATGATGGAGCTCAAAACACCGAAACAAGAGGCTGCGGGTAAGTATACTTGTGTTCATCAAAGGTAGCACGCCACTTACAAACTTCAAAGAGCAGCAACTCTGTTCTGTGGCCAGCGTCGGAGATGGAACCGTCCAGCGCCTCACGGTCGGAGACGCGCCCGTCAAGACACAATTCTCGAAGTGGAATATCATCGCCTTTGCCTTTGTGATCTGTAACAGCTGGGCTGGAGTGTCAGGCAGCATTCAGCTCGCACTTTTGCAAGGCGGGCCGGCCACCTTGATATATAGCGTCATCATCTCATCCATCGCCTACATGAGCGTTGCGATCTCCCTGGCAGAACTGGCTAGTGTCTATCCGACCGCTGGTGGGCAATACCATTTCGCATCCATCCTTGCACCGAAGAAGATACGACGGGGTGTGTCTTATGCGTGCGGCCTGCTGTCGATGTTCTCGTGGGTTGCCATCGGAGCAGCTGTCACCATCATCCCTGCCCAACAGATTATGGCACTGGTTTCTGCTTTGAACCCGATGTTCGAGACAAAGCAGTGGCATGTCTTTCTCATCTACGAGGGCGTGGCAGCTTTCATCTTGGTTAACAACCTGTTCCTACTGAAAAAGGCCCCTTGGACTCACAACATCGGCTGTATGTGTGCCGATATCACCCATCTGCCACACGAACCCGAAGCTAACACTTACCTAGTCGCTCTCACACTGAGCATGTTCCTATTCGCCCTGATAACTCTCTTGGCTCGCTCGTCTCCAAAAGCGTCGTCAAAGTTTGTCTGGGCTACGTTTATCAACTACACCGGCTGGCCAGATGGAGTGTGCTTCATCATTGGACTTTCAACTTCCTGTTTTATGTACATTGGCTTGGACGCCTCGATGCATATCGCTGAGGAGTGCAATGAGCCGCATCGAACGGTCCCCTGGGCCATGATCACTGCTGTACTGATTGGCTGCACAACAGCCTTTGCGTACACAGTTGCACAGCTTTACGCTTTGACTGATATTGAGGCAATCATGACCACCACCGAGTGAGGACTTCCAGAGCCACTTTAGCATTGGGCACCCGGTACTGACGATGCGCACGTGCTAGGTACATCCCTTGGGTCGTGATAAAACAGGGATTTCGATCGACGGCTCTCGCCACGGTCTTCACCATCATTGGCATTGTCATGACAATGTTCATCCTTAACGCTATCCAGGAGACGGCGTCTCGGTTGGCCTGGTCGTTTGCCCGAGACCACGGTCTGCTCTTCTCGAGCAAGATATCCAGCATCCATCCAACACTGCAGGTGCCTGTCTACGCTCTGTTTCTGACGTATGGGATGTTGGTTGTGTGCGGCTGCATTTTTGTCGCCTCAAACACAGGTATGAATTTCAGTTGATAATCTTTCCCAGCAACTGACGGGTGGCGAAATCATGTAGCTTTCAACGCCCTGATCGGCTCTTCGATCGTGCTCCAGGAGATCTCCTTCCTCGTCCCCGTTGTGCTCCTCATATACCGAAGACGAAGTCTGGAATATCTACCTAACACTCGCCAATTTGCGACTCCAGCCGTAGTAGGTTGGACTGCCAACATCATCGTGGTCACCTTCTCCCTTGTCACCATCATCTTCTTCAACTTCCCCATCTTCCTACCGACATCGGCGAGCACTATGAGTAAGTGGATACATCTTTCATACTTGTCTCGGGATGAGAACGGGAACACGCTAACACCTGGAACTCTATAAGACTACACGTCCGTTATTCTAGGCTTTGCCCTGTTACTGGGGATCGGCAACTGGTTTGCCCACGCGAGAAATCACTATCAGGGACCAACCATTAGCTTCGAAGCAGATGGCAGCGGCCCTTTAGCTTCATATATCCCTAGGGAGCAGCACACTGTAGCCGAAGGAGAAGCCTAAGGTGCAGACTCTCGCGCGTGAGCAGGTGGAAGGCCGCTGCCGTAGGAGTCCGCTCATGCATGACGCTCACCCTCGGTGGCGAGGGAACGCATGCAGGCGCGGGCACTCAATAGCTAGACACAGGGACGTGAACATACAGATCTCGGGATTAAGGTCTTGATCCCAGTCCCAGTTCAAGTTCTTACCACGACTCATATGGGACGAAGAATGGCTGAGTTGCCGCTTTAGTAAACCACGTAGGCTTCCAATCAAATGGAGCCACCAAACGGCGCTAACCTAATTGGGACGATATGCAGTGGGCTGCCTGGCTACTAAGAACAAACCGCGCTTCGCAGGTGCTCGCTATCTCACCCACATTCTATTACTCCCTGGAACCTCACCGCGCCTACCTCTCTCATGCCAGGTTCTGTGGGGGGAGCTATGTTTGGGCCGTCTCACGAAGGATTTGGGTCTTTTCATTACTCCAGACCCTCTACTCTGGGTGATAGACCAAATGGACCATCTTCGTTCAACGCAGAAACGCGATAGGCCGGCTCATACTCGTAGCAAGACAGGATGCATGACTTGCCGGAGCAGAAGAAAGAAATGCGACGAGACAAGGCCGGTTTGCGCTGGGTGCTCAAGAAACTTCATTGACTGTGTTTGGCCGGTTTCTTTCGTCGCCAGCAAGCCTTCCGCAACACGGCATTTGAGCTCCGGCTCTTCGGTGCGTCGAGAGCGAAAGCAGTCGGCCTCCTGGAGCACGCATACCTCTAGTTCAGGTGAATTCACATTCGTTCTGGATAACCGTTCACCGCAGATGTCCGAGAACGAAACTGCAACTCGCACGCCCGCAGTCACTAGTGTTGTACTCCCAGACATTGACGGAGGAAATCCAGAACCGATGATGCTCTGGAACCCGCTCACTGCATCATTTGTTAGCGGAGAGCGCGCTCTTCTGCTGAAATCGAGCTCCCTCCTCCTGCTACAACACTATCTGGAAAACACAGCCACATTCCTGGTGGCCAAGCCACTCTCCAGCAACCCTTTCATAACTCTCGTATTGCCCTTGGCATATTCGGACGACCTGCTCATGCATGCAGTTCTAGCTCTTAGCGGAACCCAGCTCAGCTTCAAGAAGAGCGGTGACCTGAGCGTCCAGTCAGCTACTCGTGAACACTACTCCTTATTGTTGCGCAACCTCCGGCACTTGTTCGCAGACGAATCTGCTCATCACGATATTCAAAGAACCCTCCGCCTTCTCCTGGTCTTGGTTGTACTATGCCACATTGAGGTACATTCTGCGCTCCCGGTGCTCACGATTCCACAGGGCAAATTGCAACTGCTAACATCGATTTCCAGGCAATCTCTGGCGAACCCAACGGGGGTATTTTTCCGCACTTGCGGGCAAGCCGTGAACTTGTCTACAAATTGCTGCACGAGCCCAAAGAAGACGTACACCCGGACACAAGAGTACTCGAAGGGTTTGCGCTGGAGATGTACTATTACCTGGTCATCGTGAATAGCATTACCCCTTACGGCAGCGATGAGGCTCGCGCCCTGCCCTTGGACGCCTTCTTTACGCCTCTGGATTTCCTCAAGGAATATCAAACTTATGGAGTGATGCTCAGCTGCGGTCAAGGACTCTTCGAGCTGATACCCCAGGTCTCAATCCTCGCGAGGAAGAGACTTATCGAAGAAGCATCTGGCTTACGCAGCTCAGAAAGTCAGGCCACCTACGAGTGCCTGCTTGACTCCATCTCTCAGTGGCAACCACCTCCTATGTTATCCGAGATGATCGAGTGGCAACAGGAATGCGCGTGGGCAGGAGAGATCTATCGGCAAGCACTCTTCATCTTCCTCAAAGCGTCATCATGTGGCTCGGTGGTCAACAATCCCAAGACCATTATTGCAATCCAGCGTCATATCGACACGGCCTTCCCCCTGCTCGTCCCTGTGTCGCTGACGCCCCTGGTTACCATTCTGCTCTGGCCACTCATGATGATTGGTTCTTGCTTGATCTGCGAGAGTCAGCGCAGGGAATACCTGAAGTTCTTGGACTCCGAGCCCAAGGTCGAAATTGGCCAAGTCACCCAGGCTGGGAAACTGCTGCAGTATTTGTGGGAGGATGAAGATGAGCGTGCGTACGGCTCCTTCGGACTGCATCTCATCATGAAAAAGCACAATATCAATTTCAGCATGGCATAAATACGCCAGAACTCTGATGCAGACTGGGATCAGCGACCTATGGTCTGATGTAGCGATGAGCCCAGCAGAACAGAAGCGCCCCAAGCAGAGTGCACTGCATCACTAGCGAAGCCGGAAACAGGAGCTTTCTCTTTCACTGCGGTAAGGAAATGTGAACGGTAGAGAACGCCATCGATGCGGGCTGTAGTAGGCTTGATCTTCGATTCCCACAGTACTACGGTAGTGTACGGACCACGATGGAGGCGCTCCACAGCTTGTCCAAAGCCTGGACCTGGGGGCCTCAGACTCACTAATCCTACTTAGGATCTCCGGACTCGAGGGAAGCGCGGTGTATGACTAGCTCACCTCCATGTCATTGGCGCTTCGATACGGCCGGTACCACCGTCGGAACTTGGCGTCTCAATATTCCACGACAGCAGCATCAGAACGAGGATACCAGGACTTCAGTGCTTGGAAAGGCAGCACTACCAGGTAAGACTCTATCCGGTATGGTTTCAGTCTTCGTTCTTCGTATTCTCGATCTCCGCCCAGTCCTTCAACACAGCTCCTGCGTCATATGCGTGACCCGAAAGTGGCGCCCAGGAAGTATATAGGTTCTCATGGCCTCGAGAGTACGAGTACTGGACGCTGTCACATTATACTTATCAACAGATAACAACTCACAGACCGACAACAACTTCCATCCGGGTCGGACAGCTTTGCACGTCTTCACTCCAGTATGGCACCTCGTGACGATAGACCCGAAATCAAGTTCCACGACGCTCCTGGCATGCCCGACCCCGGCTTCTACTCGCACTCTGTCAGTCTAAACCAAGCCAACCGCCTAGTTTTCACGTCTGGCATTATCGCCCAACGACCCGACGGTAGCATTCCCGAGGCGCTGGAAGAGCAGGCCGCTGCGGTGTACAAGAACCTGGAGGAGGTATTGCAGAAATCCGGGTCGTCTCCGCGAGATGCGATCAAGGTCACTTTCTTCGTTGTGGACTGGTCATTGACGCAAGCCGAAGCCTTCGTCAAATTGTTTCTTGACTTCATGACCAATGGTTCCGACAACCCCAACCGACCCGTCACAACCCTAGTGCCTGTCACGCAACTGGCAATTCCCGGCGCCAAGGTCGAGGTCGAGGTGGTAGCGGCTGTCGGAGGACGTGCGTCTGCCTACCCGGCGCCATCGGTCCGCTCATTTGATCGTCCAGTAGACCCGCTGAAGGTCGACGTGGTGGTTGTGGGTGGCGGCTTCTCTGGCTTACAAGCAGCATGGGATCTTCAAAAAGCTAGTTTAAGCTGCGTCCTTCTGGAAGCGAAGCATCGTATCGGTGGTCGAAGTCGGTCGCAACAGCTACAAAGTGGGCCGGGAATTGTCGAACTCGGGGCCACCTGGATCAACGAAAAGACGCAGCCGAAAGTGTTCGCAACCGCCAAAAGGCTCGGGTTGGACATGGTGAAGCAATACACTGAGGGAGATGAAGTCTGGCAGTTCCCAGACGGCCGAGTCCTGCGAGCCATCCCAGGTTCGGTAAGTCATAGTCACGACCTGATCCGTGGTCCGGTCTTGAGTGAGTGCGCACTGACTAATTTGTGGTTCAGCCGGAATTTGACCAGACCGCCGAGTTCAACATGGCGCTATGCGAGGTGGTTGACGCTGGGTGCAAGGACATCGACATCCACAAGTCCGGCGAGTTCCCCTCAAATCTGGACGTCTCTGTCGAGACGTGGGCCGCGAGCAGAGGTCTCAGCGACACCTTGGGCAAGTCCGCGATGACGTTCTTCACCAGCGCGGTCGTCGGTCGTGATTCATCAGAGATTGGCATGCATTATTTCCTAGATTACGTCAAGTCCGGCGGAGGCTTTATGAGTCTCGCTACTGAGGGCGAGTATGGCGCGCAATCCCTCAAAATCAAGCAAGGTTAGAACTCACGAAATGCGCCCTATTTCTGAAAGGGCGTCTGAGCTAACTCACCGTGTCAGGTACATCGGCCATTGCAACAGGCCTCGCCGACGAAATGAAGCCTGGTTCCATCCTCGTCGGCAGCCCTGTCGACAATATCCTCCAGACGGCCGAAGGGGCGCTGGTGTCGACGGCGACGGGTACCCAAATTTCGTGCCGGAAAGTAATCATTGCCATCCCGACCAACACCTACGAGAAGATTCACTTCTCGCCACCATTACCTCATGACAAGAGCGCGCTCGTCTCCCGAAGCAAGCCAGGCGTCTATGCCAAAATGATACTCACGTACAGCCGTGCCTGGTGGAGAGAACTAGGTTTGGTAGGCAAGTTCTCGAGCCTGAAGGGCCCCATCTGCTTCTCCTGGGACATTTCGGACGAGACACGGCAGCAATACTCGTTGGCGCTGTTCATTGCAGGTGGCATCGCGGCTCGATGGGCGGAGTTGAACGAGCTGCAACGCGTCGAAGCCGTGATCGACCATCTGGCCGAGCTACTTGGGCCGGAGCACGGGCATCTTGCGCAGGACGACGTCCTGGAAGTCAACTATGTGAACTGGTCGGAGGAGGAGTACCTGGGTGGCGCACCCACGTCGGCTATGCCGCCTGGAGTGCTCTCCAAGTATGGTTCGGCACTCAGACAGCCGTTCAAGCACATCCATTTCGCCGGTGGCGAGACGGCGTACGAGTGGAAAGGATATCTTGAGGGTGCGCTGAGGGCGGGTTCTCGAGCGGCAGAGGAGGTGATCGAGTGGGCGAAACAGGAGGATCTGCTAACGAAGGCTTCGCCAAAACTATGATAGCAGCGTCAAGTATGGCTGCTAGAAAGTCGTCAGCTGCCTGTGGATACCTTGGTTTCCTCTGCAGAGGACACGCCCGCAGTAAGTAGGTAGTGACCGTAAATTGCGTTTTATAAGCTCACTGTGGGCGTATTATATCACCTCGCGCATACGATGTTCTGGCGTGATCGCTCCTGTAATGCGAGACAATACCGCATGATTGACGTGTGTCCTCGACCCAGTTGGTGTCGTACATCGTAACATACCCGGCTGAGATTCTTGATATTCGTCTAGATGCCGCGACACTTGTTACTGGATGACATCCTACCCTCGTCCCATATCGTCGACCTTCAGAACGCTGAAGGAATTGAGGCAAAGAGGCAGTGGTCGTCCCGCCAAGCAATCGGTGCTGTATCTCCGTGGCAAAATCATTTTATCTCCGCCACTCGAACTTTTTTTGAAATCGGAAGAAATTGCGGAGTAGACGTCGCGGTTTCATACCCAACGCCTCTACATCCCTACCTCCCTGCGACACAATGCCTCGTCAAGCGCACGGCCGACCGCTCCAGCCCGGGCGGACCAATGCCGCAAGCAAGAAAAAGACCTCTCGAAACCGCGGGCTGAATGCCCTCGAGATCGCGGAACGGGAGAATCCCGACGAGATCAAGATCCGCCAACACCGTCTCGGACACGTCGACGATGACGACGAAGATCCCCGCGGCCGAGCGGATGCCGACGAGCGGTCCTCGAAGAGAAGGAAGATTGACATTACACGTGGGGATGAGATTGCAGACGAAGGCTCCGACCTGGAGGGGAACCGGTGGCACGAAGGAGTGGATGAGGACGACGAAGATAGCGACATTGACAGCGAAGATGCGTTTGGCGCGAGCGACGAAGAACGGTTTGCGGACTTTACGTTCCGAGGGAGCGCTACTGTGCCGTCGGCAGAATCCACAAAACCTCGCAGGCACGCAGACGTCGATTTGGATGAAGACGTGGTTGCGGAGGATGATGTTGTAGACGAAGGTGAAGGTGAGGATGAGGACGATTTTGGTGATGAGGGCGTCGACCTGGCTACAGCGTGGGATATGGATGATCAAGATGAACAAGAAGCCTTGAGAAAGCGGCGAAAACGTCGTGCAGGAGCCGAGAGCGATGACGAAGATCCGTTGACGGGCTTGGATGAGGAAGATGAAGACCAAGACGGCGATGATTCCGAGGCCGAAGACGACTCAGAGTCGGCATTCTCCGTATCTGATGACGATGATGGAGATCATTCTCGACTGCAGAGTTTCGTCGAAGAACTTGCAGGTGGCGACCGAGCGCAGCCCAAGAAACAGCGTCGTGTTCAGAGCCTGCCGGACAAGCCGTCGCAATTTGGTCTCAGCTCAGCTAAGATTACAGCCGCTGATCTACTACAATACATCAAAGACCCTCGTCAGCGGCAATCGCTGAAGATCTTGCAGAGTAGCGAGGAAAGGGGCCACGAGCCATACAAAGGTGGAATTCCTGGCAAACTTGCACCGCCCTTGGCCAAGAGACAGCAGGATCGCCTCGACCGGTCTGCCGCTTACGACGAGACCAAGAAAGAACTGGGCAAGTGGATTGAGACGGTCAAACGTAATCGGCGAGCTGAGCACCTGTCGTTCCCGCTCGTGGATGCCGCAGCTGCTGGCATGTTGAGCGGCAAGCAGCTCGGGCCGACTTCCACCTCACACCCGATGACGGATCTCGAGGCTACCATTCAGAGCATCATGATAGAGAGCGGCATGTTGACGAACGATGGCCGCCCGCAGGAAGGTCGAGAAAACGAGTATGAGGAGTTGCACGAGAAACAGATGCAGCTGGCTGAAGTCCGGGCTCGACGAGCCGAGCTTCGCCGGCAACGAGATCTGATGTTCCGGGAAGAGATCCGCGCCCGACGCATCAAAAAGATCAAAAGCAAGGCGTTCCGTCGTGTCCATCGCAAGGAGCGGGAGAAGGCCGACGAAGGAAATAGAGCGCTGCTGGATGCACAGGGCTTGCTCAATTCAGACGAAGAAAGAGAAAAGAATGACCGGCGACGCGCAGAAGAGAGAATGGGTGCGCGACACAGGGAGAGCAAATGGGCAAAGAGTGTCAAGCTCACAGGCAGAGCTGCTTGGGATGATGACGCCAGACATGGTGTCACAGACCTTGCACGTCGAGATGAAGAGTTGCGAAGGCGCATGGAAGGCAAGGCGGATGCTGGCTCCGATGCATCAGATTCGGAGTCCTCCAACTTTGACGGGTTCTCCGGCTCTGACGAGGAAAGGGATCACCTCAGAATCAAGCTCGATGAACTTGACGCTGATGAGCCTGACACGTCCGAGTCACGACTCAGCTCGATGGCGTTCATGAAGAAAGCCGAAGCTGCACGGAAAGCTGCCAATGAGGAAGAGATGCGCAATATCAGACGCAACCTCGATGACAACGAACAAGATTCTGCAAATGAGGCAGATACAGAGGAAGAGGAAAGCCCGGTCGGTCGTCAAAAGTTTGGTCCTACAGGCAAGGAAGGTCCGGTTCGACCTCTGCCGCATGTCGAGAAGAGCGAGTTCGAGGAGCGCGAGTCCGAGAATGAGCTCGAAGACCTCGCCGACAATGATCCGGAAGGTACTGTGAATTCGAAGGGTGCCACGACGGTAACCAGTACGTCGGCTAGCAAAAGTGCTCTACGACCCAAAGCCCCTTCCCAGTCATCGGGAGCAGCACCTTTGCCAATTGAGCTACCGAGGCCCGGAAAAGGGGCGGATGTAAAGACCAAAAAAGCATCTCCAGCGGCTGCACAAGAGACTGCTAAGCCTCTCGTCAAGATTCCGAAAATCACAGAAACCCAACTGGACGACTACACCAGTCCGTCAGAGTCAGAGGACGAGCGGGACGAAAAAGCCGCATTAGCTCAAGCTATCTTCGCTGGGTCCGATGAGATCCAGCGCGAGTTTGCTAAGGAGAAGAAAGAGACAGTCGAAGAAGAAGGCGACCAGGTCATCGATAACAGCCTTCCCGGCTGGGGCAGCTGGGCGGGCGAAGGCATCAGCAAGAAAGCCCAGAAGCGAGCCAGAGGACGCTTCGTGACGACCATCAAGGGTGTGGCAAGAGACAAGCGACAAGATGCCAAACTGGACAAGGTCATTGTCAACGAAAAGCGTGTGAAGAAGAACAGCAAGTACCTGGCCAGCGAGCTGCCTCATCCGTTTGAGTCAAGGCAGCAGTACGAGCGGTCGCTCCGTCTCCCATTGGGTCCTGAATGGACGACGAAGACGACGTTCCAGGACGCCACGAAGCCGAGGGTCTTGATCAAGCAAGGCATCATTCGACCAATGGCGGAACCGATTGCATGAAGGCAGCGGATACAAGCGGTCCTGTTGTAGAGAGTACCTCCCGCGACTATCATCAAATCCACATAGTCCACGTATACCCAGGCCAGAGCAGATCGTATTAGATCAGACACCCGGGTTCACGCACATGACACGATGCTCGATCGGTCCCGCTCGATCGGTCAGAGTGAGGGATGGATCATGGATGATGATTTCCAGACCAGCTTCCCAATATCATAGCGATCCAGCAATGCAAAAGGGTACCTGATCCTTCACTCCGTCACAGCCCATCTTTCGCGACAGGTACACATCACTCCTTCATGCAATCATGCATTTCCCCCGCTTCCCAGTGGCAGATTGACGAGAAAGCTCTCCATTGGTTCTTCTCGCACCTCTGATGTGATTGTATTGCCCGGGCCGAGTGCGGCGCATGGCCGTGACTGTGTGGTTGTGGTGGAGTTGTGGTCCGAACACGCACCTCGTGGCCGACGCTGCCCACGGCCATACCAGTATAAGGTGGTGGAGCTTTACATGCGGTCCGATCGCTCAGTGTACAGTGTACAGTAAATGTGACTCACATCACAAGTAGGAATCAGGTCAGGCACAACCAGATCAGATCACTTCGGCAGGTTGGACGAAGATCTCCGGATACAAAGCTCAGAGATGTCGCTGTTGGATTTCTGGATTTCTTGTCCCCTTCTTTCCTTCCGTATTCTGCTCCTCTCTTTCGCCTGCTCGCTATCTTCCCTTCCATTACCACTCTGGCCGCGCGCACGACGTGCATACGGTAGCTGGTCCAGAACCTAGGTAGGCTTCCCATTAGTGGGCGTTCAGTTTCTAGGGTGTCTCTACATGTCCCTGTGCGCGGCTAGAAGTGTCTGAACCATACACTCTCCTACAACTGGGCATAGAATACGACAGCTTATTCTTATCATCCATATCCTTACCTCTCATATCCTTACCTCTCATATCCTTACCTCTCATATCCTTACCTCTCATATCCTTACCTCTCATATCCTTACC